CGCAAATAAAACCGATGAGGCACCGCGAAGCGCCCACACGTATCATTTCAGGATTCAACGGGTCCGGATCGGAATATGGAGGAAGTGAAGCCATGCCAACGACAGTGAGAGCCTCGGTATCATTCATGTTGATGGCTATTCTCGAAGAATAGGTCGGAGTGGGCCCAGGCGGTGGCAGAAGGAGCACAGCCGGAGCCGTGAGATGTGCCAAGAGAGCACTAAATTATTAAACAGCTCCGGGGAAAAACTCGGCTGTGAACTCAGAGGAGCGTCTTGACGGCAGCGAACGGTCTTGTCATGGTTCATTGTATGTCGGACAAAGAGTGCCCTCTCGTACGGGCTCATAAGCTCATGAAAAGCCCGCCCTAGCCGATATTTAGAACAGAGACTTCCATTTTACACTCAGCCGGACTCGGCGGAGTTTTCGGAGGATTTAGGAAATCTCACTTAAGAGCGACATGAGTAATGTGGATTGTCCGACTCTTAGCTAAGAAAAAACATCGCTTCCGCGGATCCGGTTGTTCCGGCACTGTTGGGAGGGAGCTCCCTGCTCCATCTGGGGATAAATCTGAGGATCAGCCGAAATTCTAGAGGGCGGCGCGGAAGGTCCGATCTCAAGAACCGCCCGATACCCAGGGGAACATGTCGGACCTTCGGAAAGTCCCCGCCTTGGGAATTCGATTCCCCTAGACTTTCTGTTCGGAGAACATCTGTTGCGGGTTCTTGACAGGCAGCACTCCAGATTCTCGATCGCTTGTTCTGAGAGCATCTCCGGAGACCGATATTCTACGAGATTGCTGTTATCGCAAAGCATTCGAGGATGTCCAAACCCAGCCAGGTCGTCCCCGAGATGCGAGCCGTCGAACGACGCTGATTGTTCCCCGGACTCCTGATCAGGCTCTGGAATCAGGTTCTCGAAACGCGCCCCATGCGCATATGTCTTCGGGAGTGGTAACAAGGAGGCAGATTCTTCTCTGAACGGGCTGGAGCCCGAATTTTAAGTGGCTCACTCCGATTATGAACTCATGCCGCTCGCTAGGATGTTCCGATTCAAGATGCAGAGGACGATACCTCGGGCGGGAGATATCTTCTCCTCAGCACGAGAATCTGCTCGTTCTCAATCAGGGAGTCTGCGAGGGAACCGTGATATGCCCCGATGTCAGGATCTCCATTCGCCTACCCTCCGATTCTTTGGGAAAACCTTCGCTCTCGAAGGTATCGCTTCCACGCCTACCTCCCCATAGTTCCCATGTTATTCGTATCCCATATCTGCCCACATCATCCGCTCTCCCACGTACTCGCACGGAGCCTCTGCTACGATTCTGCGATGAAGGGGAACTATTTTGGAATTCGAATCTCTGTTTAAGGTAGCGATCAAATTTCATATCATACATAGTCCCGGACGCCCGAACGCCAGTCGTCCTCTTCGAGTCTACATCCTATCGGGGACGACTACCTCACACCGGTCGGATATAGGGGGCCGCTCCAGGGGATTCTGTCGGTCTTTGTCAGGATCCCTGACAGGCTCGTCGTTCTAATCGACGTCGATTGACATGGGCTTATTGAATCAAGCCGGGGGTTTTGTTAGATCAACATCCGGGGGAATTTCGGTTAGAAAAGGGGAAATAACCCTTCCGAGCGGTAGATCACGGGCCGCCTACCATCGAATCATCACGGAGCTCTCCGTGATCTCGACCAGGCAACACGAAAGATTTTTTGGAATCGGAACGAAGTAACCTATAGTTCGTGCGCCGTGGGGCGAAGTCCGATTTGTAAGAATTGGAGCGAGAGAAGCGAGATTCCGATCCAGCAGGCTCAAAATAATTCCGACCTTGCCAGCGCTTGACGGAAGTCTAATCGAGAGCATAGTCTGCATGGAATAATGCGCTTCAGTGCATTCGATGATATCCATTCATATTCCAGGGGAGTTTGGTGATATGCACATGTACGTTGAGCGGGAGAGACTATACACATATGTTTACTCTCACGGACGCAGATCTTGGAGGGTGTTCACGGAGCAAGCAGAAGAGGTGAAGACATCATAATCGGATGTAAAATTGAAAATAAGTTGGGGTCATGCATCGCTCTTTCTTCCCTAAACCAAGCCATTTTCGAGGAAAACAATCAAGGAAAAAAGGCATGCTTTTTCTTTTTCTGTACGGAAAAATCAAGTTTGATGCTTTTCCTCCGGAACATCGACCCCGGGACAGTGGGCTACATTTTCTTTCGATGAGAATTCAAGAAGCCAGGAGGGCAACCCATCGCACTTCTCCCTCTGAACCTTACCGGTTCCGAGGAAAACCGAGTGAGGGACCACCCTGTATATGTGTATTCGAGAAACTGAAGATTCTTAATAAGCAAGCCTCACGACGCGAAACGCTCGTGAACGGACGAAATTCCGCTATGACATAATGATTGATAACTCTGATCTTCTCCCAGCGAAATCTACCGTTTCGCGCTAACGGCGACTATTGCACGGGCCTCCAAAGCTTCAAAGGAAGAACGCGGCTCCTCGCGGTAAGAAGTCAAAAATTTTAATGTAGGCTCGATGGCGCATCATAGATGTTTAAAGATGTATGTGAGTCAGGCGGATCCCTCATAAGCTAGCGATATTCATGAATACTTACGCTTTGAAGCCTCAAGTCCCGATTGTACCAGGAAGCGGGGTCGGATACGCTTAGCTCAACCGAATGGGCGAGGAATCCGGCTTCTCGGGAGTTCCGGGAAGTCGCCAGATTCCGAAGAAGGCGGGGAGGGGAAGATGTAGGAACGGGGAGAGCGGCATGATTTGCGGTTAATTCACGGAGCCTGAATGGAATATCGATTGAATAGTCGAAATCTGGCATGATAAGTACACAAAAGCTGGTCGTTCTAATCTTTTCGGGTTTGGATGTTCCTGGACAGGCGATGTATCCTAGGTTCCCTGACGTCCTTCGCGTAATACCGTTACTGGAATGGGTGTATATGGTGGAATGGATCCGGTCACTCCCCCAAGGACAAGTTCGTCACGCGTGATCTGAGAGAGTTTCTCGGCGAGACCTCCAGGTCTCCTCCTCACACCGAGCTGGGCTCCATCCTGGCTGGAGGTGAGCCAGAAATAGGTCTCGAGGTTCCGCAAACATTGGTCCTCGTTTGCTGTTCCAGCCTCCATCGAGCTTTGCCTACTTCAGGACAAGCCCCAGGAGTCTCCCGGGGCGAAACTGAGCCCGACCAATTATTCGGGTTGGAGAGCCCGAGTGATATAATGTCATGATATGTCCTCACGCTCCGCTCGGACTCCAGCAGTGCCTCCATGACTCTGCATCCTCGAGTCTGACATCTGAGAAACCACAAAATCTAAATCCTAGAAGCTTGCTCACGGAAATTCCATCCGTCCTGGATCGCCAATCCGTCTCTGTCTCATTCCGGTTAGGTGGCGAACGAAGGGATGGCGGGTATCCCCACAGCGGATACTCGCAGTCGCGCTATGAAGCTCAATAGGCTCCCGCATCCGGGAAAGTTATGATTTGACGCTTTTACAGCGTATACCTCAAGTCCCGAACGTTCCTTTGAGGCAGATTACCTTATCTATGGCACAAAGCAGAGGGAGAAATGCCAAAATGCCAGTAGAGCTACTTTGGTCAGTTTTACACTCCTCGACACTATTCCCGGTGCCATTCGGGCACGATATACCGTGTTCGAGCTCCTCGTCCATCCACGGGATAATTTCACGCATTTTCCGCCGTTCATCTGATCCGGCCTACGCTTCGTCCTGGCTGCATTTGCATACATTTGTTTCCGAAACCGGAACTCGAACGCTATTCTCTAATGGAGCTCGGAGGAATCTAGACATCGATTCAAGGTTGTGAGCATGGTTTTTGTGTGTACAGAACGAGCGTCATCTGTCCGAAGTCACTTTTGGGTGAGTTTTCAGGGTCAGCAAAAGATGGGTCAGCAGATCATATCTCTTCCGGAACAAATAACCTCTCGCTAGAGCTTGGAGTTGTCAAGGCTCAGCTGAGCAAGGCCACCAAGAAAATGTGAATCATTCAGAGGCTTCCCCTTCAGAGTTGGCTTCCTTCTCCGATGAGCAGTTCACGCACCTATTCTCGATCCGATATCTCTCGCGAGGCTGAGAGACCGACGCCGCTCATCGTGGAATCGAATTTTCATTAAGTGAGATTATCCCTGACTTGTCAATTCGGATTGTCAAAGACCCGGATTTCAGAATTATTTCAGCATTGATGAGCCTCGACACGAGCATGTCATTGTAGAAGGGGGAAAAACAAAAAGAGCGAACTAGAGCGAATAATTCAGTATTCGTCTTCTCAGCACCGTCAGTCTCGCTCCTACCGAACCTAAGAGGCAGGATAGACTGCCATCTGCCATGATTGTAGTCATGAGTAGGAATGGTGGGAATAATATCAAGGTTCATGTGAATTTCGGAGAGTTCCGCAGTGAGACTCGGCAGCAGAGTATCTTAGGTCGATCTCGGAATCGCTTGTGATGCAGGAGCCGTTCCCAGCCATGATCCAGCTTTGTGCTCGTAGTCCCTTGAGAGACCGAAAGACCAGCCCCGACTCCGTCGAAGAGGAAGGAACCGCCCGACGCCTTCGGGACTCTCGGCAAAGATCATCAGCATCATTCCCTGTGGTGAGAACTGTCAACAGAATCCATTGGTGGGGAGGTCCACTCGGGCTCTCATGATCCGAAGGGGATGCAACCGTGCTATCCTTGCACGGCGCCCAGGCCTACATCTATTGATACAGACAATGAGGCGTAGGAGCGTACACGACAGGTTCTCGATTTGCTTTGGAACAGCACAAGGAGCGGTCCTGTAGCGGAAAACGCGAGAGCCCATACTCTCTGCCCAAAGACAGGAGGGAGAGAGTAAGGATTAATCCAGCAAGCGGAGAGGATACTATAACCACCGCCTGCAGACAGGGGAACAACTCTGCAGCCAGGTGAGCGGGTGAGCGGGTGAGTGAGTGAGGAGTGTCTTCTATGCGTCCGTCCGTCCCATTGACTTACCGCAATCACCGACAAAGCTGACTACAAGAAGCCTCGGACGGGTGGGAGCGAGTTGCCCGTGAGGGGAAGAGTGCCCAAGTGAGCGCTCAGCTGTTTCGTGGTGTTGAGCCTTCCGGAATTCGTGCTAGGAGTGTAGCTGGCTGGAATTAACGCTCTTGGAGCGCAGAATGTGTGACATCGAAGAAGAGGAGCTTGACCCCCGGGTGCAGGTGAGTAGCTCAAGGGAGAACTTCCGGCCTCCTCCGAGTCGTGAATCTGGCTCGTAGCGGTGTTCTGTGTGGTTGTCGAGATAAGAATAGTAATCGACCCGAGATCGATGGAACCTCTCGCTCGGATCCGGTTCGGAATGGTTCTGCTAGGGAAGGCGCCGATGTTCATCCGCTGTCATGCAATGAAGGATGGTTTCGCTCGACCTAGCCCCCCTATCGAGGTCGTCCCGGATCCGGTTCATAGCGACTTGGGCTGCCGCCCGCCCCCAATCGCTCTGTGGAGGTTGTCGACTTGGGAACCGAGTGCACGTCGTAGGAATGAAGCGTGCGCATCCCGAACAGACTTTCCCTATTGTGCACCGCACTTTGGGACCCACGACTGATTTTATTCGGTGCCGACGGTGACAGCAGACCGAGAATCCAATTGACACCCCTTGTCTCGCGAGCCATGCGAAGCGACGATAGGGCTCCTAGCTTAGAGCCTCGGCTCTGTTTCTTGATGCTGCCTTTCTCTTGGCAATTCCCGGGGAGGCACCCTTGCGCATGATCCGGGACATCGCAGAATGTTTAGATTCTCCGAAAATCAATTTATGCTTCACGGGCGGCCTCCAGCGACTTGCCGATAGCGGAGCCAATCTTCTGGTGTGTTCTCTCTCACAATTGTTTCCTCTTATTCGCTAGGATCGGCGTTCGAGACGATAGAGCTCTTCGGAATCGGATTCTGAATACACGACTTGGGTGGCTTTCTTCCCAAGCTCGCGTTAGATGAATTTTTGTGAGACCTGAGGTTCGACACAACATGCGATGCGGCTGAAAGTTGGGATGCGGGGCCCAGCTCGTCATGAGGAGGCAGTGCAAATTATTACATTATGGATGTTTTTTTCCCTATCTTATTCGCAAGATCCCTCACTTGGCTCCGAAACGATCCGTGATCAGGCGTCACGGCTTTTTGACGACGTTCCAAACGATTCCTATCCGGCTTTGGGGTGATGGGAGTGAATCTTGTGAATTGACGCGCAAGTGAGTAACGATTGCGGCTGAAGCATGGATTTCACCGCTTCCCTGTCGATCCACGCTTATGATTTGTCATTGATCGCATAACATGACAAATCTCAATCGGGTATCGGATACGAATTATTCTCGATTGGACTGCTGAACGTTGTTTTGACTTCAAAACGTTCGCGAAACCAAGAGCTGAGTTGGGACTTGACGCTACGACGGATTTTCCGTCGAGCGAATGCTGCGTGAAAGCCTTCCGGTCTTTGTCATTTTTCGGGTCCGCCATGTCGTCTAGGGAACATACCACTGACCACGGTTTGCCGCTAGGTATGGTTCCCACCGATTTCACTTACCCTTCCGATCTCGATCCGCGGAAATGTTTGCATAACATGTCATCGGTTGCCGCGGGAAGTTCGGTATCACTAGAAATGATGCCGATGGATCTCTGTCACCACGCGGACCGTCAGAATCATCCGCCCGGGAAATTCAGTACACAGAGAATCAACTCGGAGAAACTTCCTCGAAGACGCGCCCAGAAAAATCGGTGAACGCCCACGGTGCTCCTTGTAATGCGGACACGATCGTCTGATGGCGCCCGCGGAGATTTTTTTCCCGAAGTGTACGCTGGAGGACACTCAGTGGGATGTGAGACGGGCTCCGTGCTTCAACTTCAGATGGACGAGGACGGCGGAGAACATTCATGAACACGACGAGGACGGCGGAGAACATTCATGAACACGACGAGGAGGACGGGGTGATGGCACGGTGTCAGAAGCCTGCGAACTGATATGGCTAACAGCGGGACGATCGAGGCATACCACGGCAGAGATCCCTGATTCGCTCAACTCTGAATTCTGACTTGATTGACCATACCACCCCATTAGGACTCACACTGCTACGTGTTGACGAAGGAACCTCTTCCCCATCACAACCCCAATGAGCTGCGTCACCTCTTAATGACGGAAGCTTAGCCTAATTGTTACCAATGATAATTCTGCTCCTCATCCAGCAACCGCGACCGTAGTTCATGATCTACGAGCAGTTTAGCAGTCACAGCTACTTCCCGCGTCTGTCGACGAGATGTAGATCTGATGAAACACGATGTTACTTCACTACGATCAGACGTTCTGGTGAATGAGCGAATGGATAGATAGATAAATAGATATTCGTATATAGATGGCCAGATGACGAGTGAACGATCCGCAGACTCTTGGCGGAGCGGCTCAACCGTGTCGGTGAATGAATTTGCGCGGCTCCGGCGCTAAGTTTATTTCACTTACGTAGATTTAGCGCTGGACAATCAGCATCAGTCGGTTCTCGAATCAGACACCATCCTGAAATAGATGCGCTTCGTCACCGTTGTTATTTCGCGTTTTCGGACCATCATGAATCTTCCAGGGAATAATAAGAACGCTGCTCGAGAGTCGTTCCAGGAGGCGTATCGAATGCTTCACTGACCTCGGATGGCTTTTCGAAGTTTCGATGTCCTGCGGAACGAATTTGTACAGGTTGCACTCTATTCGAATTCAGCCATTGAGGTTTCTTTGGGTTGGATGGAAGTATAGCTGCATCGCCGCGATTGTTCGTACGCCTGTCGCTGAACGTGGGAGGATGGCAACTGCCCAGTGTCAACAAAGAACGCGATCCCTTCAGGAGATTGTTTTTCGCGTAGCCGAAAGGTCTCCTGCGGGCGGTTACCTCGGGAGGCCTGAGAGGGATCTATTCCTCCGGGAATGCTTTTCCGCATACCGTGAGATGCGTACGGCCATGCACGGTAGGGGAATGCCCACGAGATATCGGGAATTGAGCACTCGAAGAATCGAGGAATATTTCGAGAGGACAATTAGCCGCTCGCATGCCATGAGATGAGTCATGGCTCAGCTCAATAAGGGATTACAACTTTTGCTCGAGTGCGCTGTATCATCATAGAACCATCTTCTCGCGCCCGAGTCGCTATGAGTCACAATATGTCTCTGACGTTCTGTCACTCTTGGGCGATGCCGCATGATGGTACGTTTTTGGAATTTCCCATGTAGCAAGCTGTGTGGCCTACTTCGGTTTTCGACCTAATGGGTTGATTTTGAGCTGCAGGTTTAGCGCATTCGGACAGCGAAAATTCTTCAACGCAGCTTCGGTGCCCACGGAGACGATTCGCTCGACCCTCGACGCCGCTGAGTTCGTGCAGACTCCGTTCTTGGAAGAGATCAAATCGCCCATCCCCACATTTCCAATTCAGCTCAGGCTTACGAGGATCTCGCTGCTCCTCGTTGCTCGCGAGGTCCGCTGGGAGCGAGCGGGTCGTTCATCAGAGGGTCTCCGCGGTAAATATGGATGCGCGCTCGAAATCCCGAGTAGAAGCCAGTGCGCTGGGATTTCCGGATTCGCAGCCAAATTCGACTCTCTCTCACGCCCGAAATAATCGCCCTGGGTCACAATCACCTGCTCTACGCGGGTTCAGCTTCAGACTCCGACGTGTTGAATGACTGCCTCTCAATCTGAGCATCGATGAGCCCTTGCGAGGAATGTCGATGGACTCAAGTTGAAGACTTGTCAAACGAAAGACAGAAGTTAGAGGAGTATCGACATACCTGTCAGAATACATTTTCGAAGTGCTACATGTATACGTACATTTATTCACGAGAGGTCTCACACTCACTTCAACGATGCTTTAGATTTTCGTCCGATTTCTCGACTCTCGCTCGACCGACATCTGATGGGATTCCAGGTTACTATCCGAGTGTGTGACCGCGATGCATACCGCTGCTGGCATCGTTGTTTTGACCTGGATTGTCTCGCGCCTGCCATTCGTTTGATCTGTTGCGGGTCCCTGAGTTCCAATGTATATTTGCAATCAATGATCCGAAAGCAAAGTTTTATGGTAGGCGATTAGGAGTCAGCTGTTGTCATATGAAGAGACAGTTATTCTGCTCGTATGAGTCTTTATCGACGCAGCGGTTGATGCTGGAGTCATTCGCATCATGGGTTACGAAAAGGCGAGTTAGGTCGATGATCTTTCCCGATCGATATCGACCTTGACTCCCCCTCCACTGGTTGCTGAGGTAGAGATCCGACTGGGGATTTCCGAGTTTCCAAACTATGAAATCAACTACCACGGTCTCGCGCTCACCCATCGTGATAGAGCCATTCGCTCCCGAGGGAATGGATTCCGACAGGCGCCGGAGCGGTCGGAACGCACTTGAGCCGCTTCAGAGATTTCAGAAAGTTTGCCGCCTCAGCTGCTTCAGCTTTCCAGCGGTAAGGAATCGAGAAGTCGCAATGGTGGTGGCGATCGCTGTACGCCGCTACAGGGAGTAGTGATTTTAGCGTGGATATTTCTGGGAAGATTCTGGCGTGAGATCATCCATGGAAATGAATGCATCCCGTCGTGAGAAAGAGAGGCCCGGTAGTTGTTTCCCCGCTCGCCCCTACATCGAGAACAGATCAACGAGCGGATAAAAAGCAACCCATTGTGTCGCGGTTTCGGCCCCCGGATCGATTTCCCCGACTAGTTGGTCGAGAACTGCGACTCGGGCTCATCGGCGGATAATCCAAGATAGATGCGAGCGAAATTGGCTCTAGGCTTTGTGATTGGGGCGGCCTAGCATCCATGCGATTATGGGTCAAGGGCTCAATAGGACACCTGGAACGATCATCCCCTCAGTCAAAGAAGTCGTCGTCTAACAGTTGGGGATGAGTTAGACCCTAACTTATTCCCATCTTTTCCGATTATCAGAGCTCATCGAGATCCATCCGTACGCGATGCTTTGCGGATGTCTATGCCGAAAACCTAAACTGTGTTTCCAAAGAGAACGATCACTTCATGAGCCATTTAATTCTCCCTTAGTCGCATGCCTAATCGGATTCCTAGAGCCGTCGCGAAGACCGCCGCGCCGTCGCAAAAGCACTCCACCAATGATTATTCAAGCGCTAGCCCGATGCGGAAAGTACGTCAGGGAAATACGCAGCGACTCAAAGATTTGGCCATTCGGCTTATCCGCGCTCCTTTTCGACCCGGACTGCGGGTCTCTGGCTTTATGCTGCGGAGCAAACCTGATGTCACTGTCTATGGACCCGCCCAGCCTGACAACTCGATATACATATACAATGAGTGGACCAACGCACTTCTACGAAAAGTTTTCGCTACTCTGGTCGCGCTTCAAGAGCGAAACCGTAACAGTAAATGAAGCTTCGGGTGTAGGCTCCGTAACTTTTGAACAATCGAAGCTTGGCAGTCCCTGCTGACCACGTCGGGACGTCAGCGACACAAAGCTGGAGTAAATGTGGAAACTATCACGGGGCTTCGCTCGACACTTTTGAAATCCCGGGAGATTTCAGGATCTGCTCGGACGAGCCATAGCTCCGCGATCGATTGACGACGTTCGGAAAATGCTTCGTTGTGTTCGAACTGGTTCGTCAACACGAGGCCGACAAGCGACGAAATTCGATTTTGGCTAACGGATTGAGACTTTGTCGATGTCCGCGCAGAAAGATGGCACGCCACTGGAATGGCACGAAGCTACCTATGAGTGTGTTTCCCTTCCGATTCCACGGAGATTTGATCCCGAGATCCGATCGAGACAAAGCATGACGGTTCGCGGATCTCCAAAATGAGGAATTCAGATATATATTCGGTATGTGAATCCTGTGGAGACAATGGGGTGAAATATCATCGCCCTGTCGGATCGGCTTGTACAAAAGATACGAAACACGGTGTGTCGGTATTATACTATTTAGAGGTACGTGAGAAAAGAATAGAAAAATGCGGAAAAAGTTTCGTTCGTCGAACACCCCGTAGCCGAACGCTTACGCATGTGAAGGCTTCCAAGCGTGAAGATTCCGATTTCGATTCACGCAAGGAGGAAAACTTAGGAAGCCTCCCGAGCCGGGAATCCCCCTCGGAGACGGACAAAATTACCAGTTGGACACGTCGGCAAACGTCAACTCTACCAGAATTCCTCTGTGGCCATCCGAGTATCATGACGCTGTGAGCTCCAGTCGCGGGGCTCGCATGTCAACAACGGTCCAATCAATGGCCGCGCGATACACCCCGATTTGTGAGCATCTACGTAATACCCGCGTCAGTTGAACGGTAGCTCAAAGTGCGTCTGTCATTATCGGCGAGCTTTCGCTAAGGGTGGTTCACGGCTAAAGTTCAAGGGCAGCGTCCATCCACCTCATCTATCGCTTTGCTGGGTGACAGCTATCGAAAAGTGTTCAAAACTCCGTCTTCCGACGCCTTCGTCTCGCTCCGGAGCCTACGCGCTTCTTCCGAAAAGCGGTAGGTATCAGTTGCCTATCAGAGGCAACCACTCCGATGGTCTAATTATTCCGCCGGAAACAAGCTTTTTATGAACCTCAATAAATGACGTGAGCGTGGAGCAAATCTTCGCGAAATTAATATTTCGAGTCATCTAGGTGCGGAGTCCCGATTTCTTACGGGCTCTCATATCTGAGGTTGACCGACAAAGCGCGCGGGGAAGCCGAACTTTGAAAAAGACGGACGCCCCAGTGCCACGCTAAGAAATCAACGAGGTCCATTGAAGTCTGGGCCAGTGGTGCAATGACCTCTAGCCACGGAACGATAGACAATGTAGGCCGTCATTCATTCAATCCGCCGCTGTTCAAGCTTCCTACGTGGACACGCAAGTGGCGACTAGCGAGCGTTCCTTATTTTCAACCGAACTTTCGCTAGAGCAGCGGAGTCCCTGCTTGCTCGCCACATGGACAGCGATGCGCGGGTCGACGGTCATCATTGAATTTACTTACTTAGTTACATTAGTACTTTAGGAGAATAGGTGGCTAGGTGCGATTCTGAATTGAACGAAATCTCACACAATGCTCTCCCTTTCGCAGATACAACTAGAGAAATTGAATTCATGTACAGACGAGATCAACCGGTTAGAGGTCGAGCTCGACGAAGCCAATGCACACTTCCGTCACACCTTATCGGTGTCCACGCAGAGGCTTAACATACTTAAAAAGAAATTGGGTAAGTGCAAGAGGCACGAATTCTAGCGCTGAACCCTCGTAATTGTGGTATCAGAAGAATAATGCTTTAGATGAACATATGTGCCAATCATGAATATTCTCGACGGAAGAGATTGTCTCCAAAGCGGGACCATACCCGATGAAGACTCGCGCGAGTGGCCTCTCCTGCGGGCGCCATCCCGGCGTGCGGAATCTCGGGAGGTTGGCGCTCATTATCTCAATTAAATGTTTCCGCCTAAATGAATGTTTCCCGCAGATAAAGCGATTGAAGCTGCTAGACCGTACTACGAGGCGAAGTATCGGGCACACAGAGCTCAGCAGGAATGTCAAAAGGCCGCAATTCAATACCAACGAGCGTCGGAGATACACCAGGCGGCAACCGAGACCATTGCGCTCGCCGAGCAACGTTTCCTCAGCAAGCAGAGCGAATGGGCTTTCGATACCGCATGGCAGGAAATGTTGAATCATGCCACCGAAAAGGTTAGACTCCTAACGATCCCGTCGGAAACTTCCTCATGAACGCTGAACTCTCCCCGCTGGCGCGTACTAACAGCACTTCCGGGAAGCTTTCCGAGTCCGCGTGCCCTCCACTCAATCAGCTCTCCTACTTAATTACGGTGGACAACAACTTCGAAAGTCGTTCTGCCTGATGTCTGACTCGAACATTCATCATTCTTGTAGGTCACAGTAGCAAAAACTCAAATGGTCGAAAGTCAGAGTGAGCACCGACGTCGAGCGGCTGTTTTCAAGGAGGCCGAGGAGTGTGTCAAGTGCATGGAGGAGAAACTCAAGTCTGAGATCAAAAAAAGTAGAACGTACTTCGAAGCTAAGGATCGCTTCGAGCGCAGCCTTGAAGAGATCAAAGCCAGGCAAGTTCGACGCTATTGTTGACTACGTGATCCTCCGGCTGTCGTTCCACTCCGCAGTCATTGAATTCCGTTCTGAGCGAATTGGCTGAATTTTTCAATCCGGAATAAAAATCATTCATTTCCGGAACAGGATCGAGGAGAAACGTGGAAACGTGGCGCGCTCGAAAGAGCAATACAATGGGGCGCTCCACGCCCTCGAAATCATTTCGTCGGAGATCCACGAGCGACGGAAGACTCGACTCGAGCTCGACATCGAACGGAAATTCCGGGATTCGGGCTTCCAACACCTAACGCCTACAAGCAGCACTTCTGGAGGTGAGTTGTACGAAGAAAGAGTAGCCGAATCGGACTGATATAAGGCTTCGAATTGAGCCCACTCGAGACGAGTATCCGAAATCAAAATATGCATATTTCCGAGAATTGGAATATTTCCGAGCGAGGGGTCACCTTGAAGTTTCTCTCTATTCCAGATCTCTGCGATCAGACCATTGGTCGACTATTGGAGGGCTCCATGGGGCAGCTCACCGATGAAGGGTACTCGCAGTCGCAGTTGGGATCGGATTCGTATCTGGCGAGTTTCGATTGTTCGATTTCGCAATGTTCTTCGATCGCGTCCTCTGTCTCGTCGTTACCCGAGAAACTCAAAGACATAGAGGAAGCTTTGAGTTCAACTCCGAAGAAGTCGAAAAAGGACTTCGTTGATGTTCCGCTCGACGACTAGTGACCTCATTCGGGTGATCCCTATTTATATAATATATATGTGTGTCCAGGAGGGAGCCGCTCCACTCGAACGAATCGTGAGCGATCTTTAGAAGTTGAGACCAAGAAGGAAAGCTATAAAACGTTTGTTAGGCTACGCATCGAACAATTATCCATACGGTTCGAGTCTCTGGAGGTATGTGTCTCCCTACGGGATCTCGTAGGAGTAGTGCTGTACCCGCTGAATCGCGTCACTCGGTAGCTTGAGATGGTTGGGAACGGTTCTCTTCCGTCTCGTGTACTTTAAGAATAGCTCAAATTCCAACTCAATTGACAGGTGCTACTTTCGTTAAGGCAAAGTACCGATGCTGTCGTTCGAGCCACCGCTTTTTCTACACAATGAATCGGTAGTTGTTGGTCGCTGTATATTTCTATTCAACTGAACAGGTCTCTGGACCGACACTGATCTCAAGTCCGAATGTTGAACGAATAAATATGATTCAAATTCTGGAATGAACAAAACTTTATTATTACCAAAAAAGTTCTCGACCGGTGCGACATTTCTTCCCGGATTTCAAGGTAGCATCGGAACGATTCTGAACGTCATCGCTTTCAGGCGAGGCGCTGCATCGGTGATCATCGAGTTGATGCCATCAACCCATTGTGGCTTTACCAAGCCTACTTCTTATTTTCCCGGCATCTGTTCCGTGCATGATTGTGAACGTCGTGGTGCCTTTGCGCAAACGGTAGTCGTAGTCGATGTTCTTCGCCCATAGCCGACATCTTACCGTCACGGGGATGTTCGCGGGTATCTTGAAGCTCACTCGAATGGATTTCGATCGACACGTTTGGTTGGAGAAATCGCGGAAGGTCGTCACCGGTATACAGGTACTGGGGAAATAATTGATCTCTTCGATATTCTTAATGTTCGCGGCCCTGTATCCGATCTCTTGATAATCCCCATCGCACGAAACGTGCAGACATTCCTCCGAGTAGATCTGCGTCAAGTAGTCCGGCATGTCTGGAGGTAATTCTTGAGCTCTGTAGGGTATCGGACGCCAATTCAGTACCCGATTGGCACCGATTGCGAAACAAGGACTTTCGTTTGAGTACCCGTAATCGCCGCACTCCGAGCACGGTAGACAATCTTCGAAATCCACCTCCCTGCAGTCTCTGAAGTTGAACCAGTTCGACGAATTGATCTCCTCCAGATCCCTGATTTCTTTCAATCGGCAGCTCATGCCGTTACGTTCTTCAGAAGACCTATCCTTGTTAGCTCCGAAACACCGGTGTAGGCTTTCGCGATACATTGAGTGGCTGTCCCTATCTTGCGAATCATAGAACATGACCTCATACCTATCTACTTCAGAGTCGTTACTCGGTCTTGGCAGCTTCGAAACTCCAGGTCCTATAGTTCCCCCGTGCCCGAAGGTCCAGGACGGATATCGGGAATTTATGCTCTGCAGGAAAAGGACGAGGATAACGATGAGGAATGCGAAGATGATGAAGTACAGAACTAGAAGGAAGAGAATCAAAATCAGCCAGCTCGACAAGCGGCGATTTCGGAAGAAGGAATGGTGCTTGGAGGGAAAGGTTTTTTTGGCTTCTTTCATGAAGTTCGCGGGATGTCCAGAGATTGCACGCAGGAAATCGCTAAGCTTCGTCGTCACGTGGAAATGAGCGGTGAAAGAGTTACTAAAGAGAGAGGTGAGAGGTGACTCAAACGGTCTCCGTAAACGACTGGATTAGATCGGAGGAACATTTTCGAGCAGGAATCCCGTCCTTTGCGTCGAAATCTTCTCCTGATCCTCTCTTGCCCACGGAGTCTGCTGCTCTGACGTCTGGCGACCGTCCATACTCGAAGAGGGAGGGAGGAGTGGATAAATTGCCGAACGCTCTGCGCATCGAGTATCGAGCGTACTTTCAGATTGATAACCGGCAAGGTCAAAAACAGAGAATCGATCGATATCGGCATGTCGCAGAGTGAATTCTTCAAAGTTCGTGATACCAATTTATTGATCAATGGCCTCGTCTAGAAACTTTGATTCGATAAGATCACTCCGGTATCATGCGGGATCTCTTCGATCGGAGAGTCTTCCTCGAACGTCAAGGGCGCCGAAGCGGCGTTTAAGTGCCGGCAGCGCTCTATTTGATGCTCTCTCCAGACTGCCCTCCTAGAAGCTCTATGAGTAGGTCCGTTCCTCCACGAGGCGTGGTGATCAGAATTGGTATCTAAAATGTACGTATATTGGAAAAATTATCATGCATCTGCCAGTAAACGTCGTCCCACACATCGGGCAATCTACACTCATTTCCTCTCAAATTTCCATGGTACCGCCTCGACTCCTCTTCGCGGAACGCGCGGAGGAACCCATCACCAGAAGTCATGGTGTCGATGATGGAGTTATCATATCAGGCAGGTGGATGGTGTTAAAGTACCTCTGAGGACGAGCTCGAGGCCGCTCGGCATTCGCTCCTCGATACCCGACGCGGCTAGGATGCGCTTGGCGGTGCTCTTGTCTAACAGGTAACTCACGGGGGCATCTGACCCTCAGATCGGAAGAAATTTTCGAACGAGACTAGACCCGGGGAATGTTTAGCGTTTGTCCCTCTCAAGGAATATAGGTAGATCTTTGTGTAGCTCTGGAACCAACGAGTTTGGAGAGCTCCGCGACTTTCAGGCCGAGGAGCGTTCGGCTTCGCTCGTCGCCTCGCTCATGTCTGCGAGTGCGTCGTTTCTCTCGGCGGGAGACTTTGGATCATCGGGTCTACTCGACGCTCTGCTGTCTCCCGTCTGAGTTTGGGCCGACGTAGAAGGTACAGCTTGCGTCGTTACGGGGACGATTTTCTCGGAGTCGAACGTGTACGCGCTCTCAGCGTACCCCCCGACCGCGCTGTCCGCATACCCGGGGTATTCGACAATTTCTTCAGACATCGGACTGTTTGGCACAGAATCGTGATCGTCCGGAGACGGCAGCTCGGGCGGAGTCAGGGCGTGAGCCATCGTGGTGACTATCGATTGTTTCTGAGGGGCCAGACCGATGGTTCTAGGATAGTCTGCTTGCTCTTGGATGTGTCGAGAGCACTTCGCGGCCAAGTGGTCGAAGCTCCGTCCATTGAGAAAGCAGACTAGCACTACCGTCATGTTGTCGCAGCCCAGGCCTCCCATCGAGGTATCGGGTGCCAGACATCGTGTCATCAGCTCCTCACAGATCTGGAAACGAAATTCTATTTAGATAGGAGACGTCGGGGATCGTCGTCGACGAATTCGGGGGCTGTCCCGGGCTGAAGTGCTCGAACTTCAGTATCTGAACCACAGAAGGTCGTCGCTCACTCACGATTTCCGGCTCCATCCTTTCAGCAAGTCTGACGCGGATGAATTGCACGACTTCTTCATTCGACATGACGTCCCAAATGCCATCGCAAGCTAGTATGACGAACTCGTGATCTGGCGTGAGCTGTAGACGCGTTAAGGGAAAAAGCTTTTAGATCTGATGACCAAGGACCTAGCTAATTTTCATCATCCCTTCTGGCGTTGCCACTGCGGCTTACCGCTTCGACCGTTACGTCTGGAAACGCTGTGACTATTTGTTCATGGGCTGGTTTCTTCTCGTTCTTCTTGAAGACGAAATCGCCGAAGGCTCGAGAAAGGGCTAGGTTTCCTGAGGATGACGTTCGGCTTAAAGAATGCGACGGGAAGAAGGATCACTTCTCGACACACTATATTCAGGCAACGAGGACGTCCCGAGCGGGAGCTAAAGCCCTGCACCTCTCTCACCATTAACTCTGTTGAGATCTACCCATCCACCGGCCGCATTGATCCGTCTCGCTTCTTCTTTATTCGAAGGTTTGTGATCGAACGATAGCGGAACCGTTCGTCCAGCGACGCACGCGACGGCTCGCGAGTCGCCGATGTTTCCGCAATAGAGCGTTCCCAAAGTTTTAGGATCATCTGCGAAGGCCAATCACTAAGACTGACAATCTTATTTAGAAGATTGTACGAACCACCTCTAACAATACGAGTGAGCCTCTGCGTTACACACCTCGTTTGATGAGGACGATGACGCCGGTCGAGCCCGCTAGTTCTTCTTTCATTACGTCATCTGTTGATCAATGAAACGCTATGTAATCAGCCCACTATGAATGTAATACTCCTCCGCTCGCGTGGGCTGCTGACAATACGTCATCGATGCGGCCAGTATGGGAGAAATTATTCAGCGATAGTTTTGGGACGATTGCCCTCCAGGATTTCCGCTCATTCTGCTCACCATTCAACATATCTTGATCCACTTCAAGGAAAGCCCGTTGGATCGCTTCGACATAATTTCCCGCTTGATAAGCGGCTTGAGCTACGATTTTTCTGGAAGGCGAGAGACATCACCGTCAGTGACCCATTGAACGTACATCGAGATTTGATTTTTTAGGCGATATTTGATCACGTCATCATTCAATGCGCTTAGCCTTCGATCATGCGGATTGCAACTTATTTACCGATGCACATGGCAGCTGGCGTATTTTGCAACTTTCGCGCCCCCATGGCCGTCATAAACCGCGAAGAAAGCCGCGTCGTGGTCATCGGGAAGACTCAGAAGATGAGTGTGCGCGTCCTCCATGCTGATCCGCCAGCCTTGGAGACATGATGCTCCCACCTGGCAAGAGTGTCCCGAGTAACTTTAGGAAACCAGCAAGTGAAAGCGCCGATGCGGCGACGCTCAGCGAAACACCAAGGTGCATTATTGAGGTCCAAGATCCCATTGGGAGCAGGAAAGCCCAGCTCGTGCCAAAAGCATCCTTCGAATCAGAGCACTTCTTCTCCTCACCTTGAGCATCTCGTTCCCACAGCAGGAGGTTTCCTTGACAGTCACGGGTTCTGACAGCGTTTGACCCATTTCCGAGCTGATCTGTGGGGGAACGGCAATCTACAATTATTGTGGGTGATCTTCAAGTCCTGTCGAGAAATCCACTAGGATTCATTCTCAATGTTTGATTCCAAAAAATCACATGGGCATCGTCCTGATCCTGGATTGTTCGCATTTGGATTATTTTCCACAGGATTTAAACCCCACTGTCAGAGCTCTCTGTTCGTTCGTGGTGTCGGCCGACGATACAGGCCAACCAAAATCACTTAAGAGCGATTTTACCTTCGTTCCACGTCACGACACGCTCCAAGACGAGACTATTCTTCCGCGGCATCAGACGCTCGCATGCGGAAATCGGAGCCGGCTTGTCACCGTCAAACAACTCGATGGTCATGCTGGTGGTGCGAGCCATGAATTTTTTTCCTGCGAGTTTCGGCGCGGAGGGAAAAGAATAATGCGCGAGGCGCCGGCTCCAGAACGAGTCTCGTGTCAATCTTCGGCCCGACACCTGTGCTCCGGGAAGCGGCTGCACACCGTTCGCGCAGCTCGTGGATAGAAATCGCCATAATCAATCATCTTTTGTTTGCCCGGGAACGGTCACAGCTATCCGGCTTGTACTCACAGAGGTGCGTTTCGAATATCCGTATTACTTAGGATACATTGACTTCTCTAGAGCGCACACCGATGGTGCGGAGGTAGCAGGAAAGTGATGAGAGAACTGGGAAGTATTTTTCCTCTCTCCTGTCGATGCGTCGGGTCTGTCGTTTCTCGTTTTGACCGCTGTCGTGATGAATCCTTTGGCAAGTGTTCGCATTCGTGAACTTCTCAGCTGTAGTGCGGGTCCTGTTTACAGTAGTCTCCCTGAGAGGAGCGGAAGAACTAGCGGAGGAAACAGTATAGTACAACACAGTCCTCGCGCTATTGACATGTCTCGCTATCGCCTCTCCGTCGTGCAGCCAGACAGCTATCCCTCGCCCGCGAGAAAGTGTGCCCTCCAGCAGCAGCGGTCTGCCCGTCCGCTCTCCTCTCCCGTGTCTGGCTCGCGCGCGAATCGTGCCTCTCGGATCATTCCAAGTTCCACCTCACGCCGATTCATCGAATGAGGAAACTCGCCATTCTTCCTCAATGTCGCTCTCGGATCGACTCGAGGCACTCTGAAAAGGCTGATCGCGTTGATCTTGACCACGGGTAGGATATTGAGCACTTGGATAGAATTGCCGGCACGAATAAGTTATTGAAGAATTACCGGCACCGACAATAATTGTACTCTAAAAGTTCGGCTTCTTCGAGAGCGCGCATACTCGCTCGGAGTCCGAGCTTCCGAAGTGAGCGTGAGAGCAGTCGAAAGAGAATTCCGAATACTCCCTCCTTACGCGCGTTTGAGTTCGGTGAAGTTGGAGGAAGAAAATCTGTTTGTTTCTCCAGGAAGTCTTTCATATTTATTGGCGTTGATTGAAACGCGGGATCGGAACGTCGAGGTTGGTTCAGATTCACGCGGAGATCTAACAGAGCCCGACCAAGTCGGCGCAGGGCAACACGGCGCAGCACACCTTCCACGCAGCCCACGCGAGAGCCAGGTTCGCCCCGTATTGTACACATTTCAAACGCCTCAAGTGAGATTTGCCCCCTTCCAGATTTGACAAATCATCATTGAGAACATATTGACGGATACCTAAACAGTAGGTTTGTACGTAGGAATCCCAATCGATCGTGCGGACGTCGAAGTTGAACTCGGCCTTGTCGCTCGGGTGCAGGCTCTCGAAGAGTTTCTGAGTATTCGTGTTGATGAAATTCCATTCATTCGTGGCGAAAAACTCCAACAGATACATAGAGTTCGACAGACGCTGATACAGGCGGAACGCGTTGCTCTGCCGGCGTGCGCAACGTAGTCCGAAATCGATGATTCTGACCGGCACGTAATGCTCTAGGAACAAACGAGTTTCGTGTAGCCACTTGTAAGATGTGACTCGAGGTCTGGGGTAGCGGACCATCGTCGTCGAAGGGTATCGAAGCGGAATATCGACAGACTTCTCCATGAACATGCGCCTGGAAAAGAAGATTCGTGCTATTGGATGCCGCTCAGCCGGACCCCAGGAGGGCGTGGAGGTGGGGCAAGGGAAACGGCAAGGGGGAGGAGTCCTGGCGGGACGGTCTCGGATTTGAGGGACTCCTTGGAGATTCATCTGCCTATCACTCACCAGTTTATGGGATTTTGAGAACCCGATGTGCAATTGTAGATCTTGAAGTTTCCGAGTTCTTGTTTCGAAGCTGCTGCTAAAATCGTATTAGCCACGTAGTCTACCGGAATTAAGTCGGCCGTGCAGTCGAGATGACTGTACAGGGTCGTGAGGGCTCCTGTGCCGAGAGCGATCAGGAGTCCATTCGGTCCGTTATAATTATCGACCCATCCGGGCAATGGCTCGGAGGCGGCCCCTGGAGGGTCGAAAATTTCTGTTAGTTACCCGTGTATGCCGAGTCATGATTACTCGGGTAAGTCTCGTGACTATAGAGGCGACTCGAGATTCCAGACTGGGCTCGGATATGTGCTCCTGAGCGAAGATGCGAGCGGGAGCTCCTTTGTTCTCACCGGTAATTATCGATGGTCGCACAATCGCTATCGGTATCTGATTCGAGTATGCTTCGACGAGGTTTTCCGTGAGCGCTTTTGTGAATGTATACGTATTCGGTCGATCTTTCAGTAATTTCGCGCGAAGCTCTTCGACAAGCTCCGTAGACATATACTCACACAGCGACATAACTTGGAACGGGTCCACCTAAACCGAGGTCATTGGTAAGATAATCATACTAACTCAAGCGGAAAATACGTATATGAAGGAAGCTCGCTCTGTCATCGTACAGCGTTTTCATACCTCGCACTTATAGGTTGTTTCGTCGACTGTTCTCAGCTGACAGTTCGAGTACGCCGTCGAAATGTGAACGGCAGATACGAGGTTTTTCATTTTCTTCGCAAATTCGAGAAGCTTGTAAGTGGCCCTCAGATTCACATCGACGCTGTTGCGGAGCGGCTCGGAGAAACGTACCTGCGAATATGGAAATGTGATATCGGACTGCGTTTTAACACAAGGCTTTTGAACTTTATCTTGATGTATCAGATTTTTCCAGGTGAAGTGTCATGATCCTTCGACGGGTGTTATCTCTGAGGAGGGAGGATCTCACCGAAGCCGCAGAGTGGATCACAACGTTGACTTGCTCTAAAAGCATCTCCTCGTCATCTTCGTTGGAAATGATCTGATCTTCGAGGAGATCACCCGGAACGAGTTTCACCTATAGGGAATCAGAGGATCGATGCATAAATGCCGGAATCTTTCGTCCCTGGGGAGTTTCAGTCGGGAGAAGGTCGAAAACGGCCTCCAAGCATCCGCGGGACCCGAATGACCAGCGTAGCCGTCCGACTTCACATTGGGCAGTCGCTCACCTTCGAAAAACATTCCGGCTTCTCCCGGTGGAGATGGTCAAAAAGCTTTTCACTGAGTATCTTCGCCAAGCGATCTTTACCGCTCAATCCCTTCTTCTCCCGGATGAGCACGAATATGGAATTTATTTCGGGACATGAACGCAGAAGTTTCTCCACCAATACCTTGAATCGAAGACGAGAGATCAATTATCATCGACGCAGAATATGGAAATGACAAGCCCCGCCGCTGGCTGATCTCATCCTCACGCTTTCAGGCGAGACGGAATCGAAAGCATGCGCTGAGCCAGGAACAATGAAGCAGAATGCTGAGTTTCTGAATGTATCGCCTCACCTTGCCTAAGAATCCTGAGACTCCGGTCAGGAGAAGATTTTTCCCAGCAAAGAATTCGGGGATCGTGGCCATATCGTGTATCTGCAACAGAGAGCATTCCATAATTGGTTGAAAGAAGACGGTCAGGGGGCTTCTTATTACTATTCCTCAGTATTTCGAGATCGTCTGCTGATCAAATGCTTAGCTACGGCAACTCAAGGCTCGGAACTCGGTGGAGCTCCTGCGCGTCACGAGACGCCCGCGTACGGTCGAGGGTGAGTCAAGGATGCTGCGAGAGGTAGTTGTCTCAATTGCTGCAACGAGGCGATCCCTATGTCGGGAGTCAGTCCATTTGGACCAAGCGAGGTGCAGCGGCTGCGGAATAGGAATCATGTCGCATCGGTTCCCCCAGAGGACCTCTAGTGAGAGAATACCCCCGAAGAAGGCGAGCTCCACTGCTGACCTCCCGAACCGGTTTTGTTTCGAGCAGTGGTGGATGGGTCGCGTGCTGTGGCGCGGTTCATCTCACCCTGGTAGCTCCGAAATCATCTGTGTCCCCTCTGGGACTCCGAAAGATCCGACAGGTATCTCTTAATCGATGTTTGATCGCCCGAATGTTTTCGAGGTGGCAGCTTATATATTTTTTAGTGGTTCGAGCGGCTCAAGAAAGCTTCATCCCTACGCGCTCCGAGCTGAGTCGGAGGTCGAGGACGAGCAGCTCTCCCCAGTGCTGGACTCGAGATAGATAGAGGTAGACGACCCTTTTAGGGGTTCCCCATTGTTTCGTTCCGCGTGATTGAAGAAACCTAGGTAAATCTCTTTTAGGCCATCCCCCATAGGTCCAAGGGCGAATTCTGAGCCACGGATTAGCCTCGATCCAAGTGAGGCTTCCGTGGACGAGCCTAGACACCAAGTTTACCCAGTAGAGCCGCGGCCGGCGACTGTTCGTCCAGATTGCCTAAATTGAATCCCGGCCATCAATCGCGCCGGCGGCATGCATTCACGAGGGCGCGGAGTACCGGGTCCGGGTTTGGTCTTCGCGAAGTTCTTCTCAAGCGGGAGCACCAACTTACTGAACACCGAATGAATCTGGACAACTGGGGCAAGGCTCATCAAGCTTCCGACTCGGTCAGATCCCCGTGTCATTGCCTGTCTCAGGAACCGATCTGAAAATTTGAAGGCTTGGCTCGCGGAAGCCTCCAGATCACAGAGGAGACTTCGTCGAGGTCGAATCGCGAACATGAGCGACATGTTAAGAATGGCATGGGAGAACACTAGGCTTCACCTCCCTCCGGTCCCGACTCTGGTTGTGGAGGCGCCGCGAGCCGCTAGCGCGAAGCCTACGCACCACATTTGGAGAAGATCCATCTCTGGGAGTCTTCTGACCGACGCAATCGACCGGAAAAAATCAGAGAACTCCACTATTCAAGGGGAGTCCCCGGGTGTGCGACCCGAACTCGCGTCTCCTTGCATTAGACGCCATCGATATTATCGAAGCAAGCGTGTACATCACTCTGAATAATCGGTCATCCATCGACTCACTTCTTCCCGAATCGATGCATCTAACACTCACAGGGCACACTCAAAATTCAGTATCGAACCGCGACTCGTGTATTATTATTATTACTCGTGTAAGACCCGGAGAATCCGTATTTACGGATTTGAGTTTGGATTTTATTTAAAGCCGACGACCAACTGCTGAACTTACCGGATTTCGGCGAATGCGGTGGACGCTGGTAGGAGCTCACAGTGAAGTTCGCGGTGAGCGGTGAAGGGTGTCCGAAACTGGGAATGAACACGAGCACATCGAATTTCTTTCTTATACTCTGAACATTCGTAGAGAGTGAGAACTGCCCCTATGGTCTCAGTAAGCTACATGACCGACTACAAATTCGAGGATAACTCACTGCTGGGTAGTCCACCGCTCACTGTGACGTAGACGGGCGAAGTATCGATAGAGAGCAACCTCTCATCCGAGGAGGCGCTTCGGCTGGCAGCTCCCCTACTCCGGCTTAGGGTTGAAAATATTGCCTCTGCACCCCTCGAAGAAAACCCCCTGCGTATCGTCAAGGTGTGTGAATTGAGATTTCTAGGCGTGGGAAGCCCACGACGTCTCTTGTAGGACCGCTCCTATCATACTCCCTATCTCGCATTGGCACACATCACCGCCAAATCCGGGACGAATACCCCATGTCGAAACGATCTCCTGGGAGCCAGAAATGGAGCGGGAGCCGAAACGCAAAAGTCCAGAATGATTGAGATACAGTGAAACCTGACCTATGGGACCACCGTACAAAGGGACCACCAGAGGTATCGGGCCACTTTTCTTTGGCACCGATCCTCCTCCCATAGAATTCTATACCATTCTTAACGCGCAATGGGACCACCTGAGCAACGGGTCCAAGGACCACCTCCCCCGCAACCGAGGGTCCCCATTACCTGCACAGTCGGAGCCCATTTTTCGGAACGTCTCGAGTTTATCATCGAAATTAGAATACAAACATCAATTGTCGCGTGGGGCTACCGTGATGCGTGAATGCACGTCTCGCTCCCCACACGCAACGCCAGACATTCGATCTAACTGTATTCGAATTCATCGATGAATTCGAATACAGATCTGGCTTCGCTTCAAGGAACAGCCGCATCGCGTCAGCGGTAATTCCGTTCTCAAGTCGAGTTGAGCCATCGCCCGGTCTCCAGCATGGGAAAGCAACGGAACGAGCCCGCTCTAGACAAAAAAGTCGAAGTTATCTAGCAAGTGAATCGGGGGAAGAGCCAGAGATAAATTGCCTCGGAGTTCGGCGTGAGTTAGTCCCTACAAAGGATAGCGAAGGATCAAAAAGCTTTCCTGGAAGAATGGGAAAGTTTTTCTTCCGAAAAAGGCAGGAGAAGACGTCAGAAAGCTAGAAACCAAGACTTCGATGACGGAAAAACGGATCCCGGTAACTGGGGTGATGATTCAGGAGAAAGCCAAGTCCTTGGCCCGCGAAACAGGGGTCGCGGAGTTTTCGGCGAGTAACGGACGGCTCGATAGCTTCCGAAAGCGACGCAACATTGTTTTCAAGTCTCTGTGCGGTGGATCTGGGGACGTTGATCAAACAGTCGTGAGTGATTGGTTAAAACGATTGCCTGATCTGATCGAAGAGTACGAGGTGAAAGACATCTTAAAAATGGATGAGACCGGCCTCTCCTTCAGATCCCTCCCTAACAAGTCTCCCGTGGAAAAAAGAAAACAATGCCGCGGCGGTAAAATGGCAAAAGAAAGGCTGTCCATCGCATTCTGCTGCAGCGCCGTGGGAGGAAAAACTCAACCGTTTGTCATATGGAAGGCCCTGAGACCTGAGACCCCGTCGCTTCAAAGGTGTGGACGTGAAGCGACTCCGTGTTTACTGGGAAGCCAACGCCAAAGCGTGGATGACAACGACGATTTTCGAGAGATGGCTCGCTGAATTCAATTCGCAGATGAAAAGCCAGGACAGAAATGTTCTCTTGATGCTTGACAACGCTCCCTGTCATGGTCACCGCACCATGAGCAAGGTGAATCTGTTGTTCTCACCCCCGAACGTGACTAGCGAGTTGCAGCCTCTAGACCAAGGCATAATCCAAGCATTCAAGCTTCAGGACCGCGATCTGATGCTACGATGGTTGGTGTCGAAAGTGGACGACTGCCGTTTGGCGTCAGAGCTCGCAAAGACGATCAACGTTCTCGAAGCTATAAGATGGGTGGTTCACGCTCAAGGTAAAGTCCAAGAACAGACCATCGCAAGAATTCCGTAAATGTGGTATCATTGGTACGGACGGAGGCGAACGCGACCCGACCGAGGATGTTCTCTCTGACGACCTTCTACAATTGTGTGCACGGACAGGCGTCGCGGATCCGTGTTTCATGGAAGACGTCGAGAGCTTCCGAAGCGCTTCTTCCGATGAGCCTTGTCCTCAGTCAGCGGACATAACGGATGATGAAGAAGAGGATACGTACGTGGAGGACCCGCCCAGAGAGCCTCCATCTGCAAGCGAAGCGCTAGATGCCGTCGAAACCCTCAGCTTGTTCGCGCTCACGTCGAGCGCGCTCTCTAACGGTGCGCACGGTGCGCTGCTTGACTAAGAGAAGCAGATCCAGGATTTCGTTATACAGAAGATGCTACGAGCTAAGCGACAAAGCACCTTAGATTCATTATTTTGTAGAGCTCAACATTGACGCGGCGATGTTTTAAGAATTCCCTCCATGGACGAGGAATGAATTGAATTGTGCTCCGCTTCACGATATCTCTTATCATTCTTAACCGCCGAATTCGGTCAGATACGGATTTGACTTTTAAAGGTTCAAAATTCATAACCTGAGCCACAGGACCACCTGGCTTATCGGACCGGATTTCCCCGGAACCGCGGGCGGTCCCATAGGTCTGGTTTCACTGTATGTAAGTTGGGTGTGGTGATAAAATCATCAATCGAGACATTCTTCGACGAAACCATTTTGTGAGATCATACGATGGTTCGCCTGTCCCCAATGATGCTCGAGAATGGCAATGAATCGGGGAGCCCGGCCTTCCGGGAATGGGGAAGAAACTCTGCCAACTCGTCTCATGAGGAGCAGTGTAAGAGCGCACGGGTTTGGTGAATACAGCGGGAAACTGAGCAAGCGCCGAAAACAGTGGTCTGTCGACCTCCCATTATCGGCTGGATGCCGTTTTAGGCCCGCTGCGGCACCATGCGTCGATGAGAAACTAGCTGCAGGACCATAGTAGGTTTTCAACGAGTTCCCCCTCTCGGAATCGTGGTGATGGGTTTCCTCTGGAGATGCGTCTCCATTGAGTTCTTTCCACCGACTCCTTAGCCGGAAATGGACTCACAGCTTCATCCGCAAGGTCGCGCTTATGAGATATTAACCGAGAATCCGTCCTCGGAAAACGACTGTAAGAATGAAGCCGGGAAATACACTCCGGTTCATGAAAACTATGAGTCCAGCATGCCTGGTCATGGAGACTCCGCTGCGACTTCCGATTTCGGAGCAAGTAGGGAGGTGGGCCACCCATTGATTGACATAGGAATATTGCCCGAAAAATTGAGCGACGAAGCGAGGTCTGCTATCGTCCGAAAATGCGCCGGCTTTCAACATACCGGCCATGGCTTCAAGGAGGTCACACGCCGAGGCTCCGCCGCCAAAGGTACCACGAGGAAGTTGACGAGAGATTGGTTCTATCGGAGGCTGCCAATGGCGAGGAGGTTCTGCGGTGGTGGATGGCCTATTCTCCAGCCAAGTAAGCATTGGACTGCTCTTGTGGCCGACTATTCCCGCGAAGAAATCAAAGATCGGTCTTCGGTTCCCCAGAGGGTTTCACTCCATGGTGGCAACTGAATCCTAAGCTGGGCATGCATGAGCGCAGTCTATGCCACAATGAGAGCTACATGAAATCTCCGAATGGATCTCCGAATAGCTAAAAACGCGAATATTGGTCACAGCTCGCAAAGCCGTGTGAAAGCTGAGAGCAGGATATGGAAACACATTCTCACCCGCTTGTTGGACATGGTAATGTTTTTGGCAAAGCAAAATCTGCCCCTGCGCGAGCATCGCGAACAAAGGCGTTCGATTGTCCCAGCGTCGGAGATATCGGCCGCCAATCAGGGAAACTTCCTTGGACTTGTAGAACTGCTTGCGAAGTATGATCCAGTTTTGCGCGTGCACATCACGAGGACCGAGCTCCGAAAGAGCAACAGCCTCTCTTATCGTCCGCCGAGAACCCGAAACGAGTTCATAGAACTTCTAGGCTGGCAGGTGAGAACGAGGATTCTTGAGAAGATCATCCGAGCCAAATTCTTCTCAATCATCTTGGACAGCACTCCTGATACAGCTCAAAAGGATCAGATGAGCACGATCCTCCGGGCGTTGTCATTGAAGAAGGCGATGTCAGGATTGAAGAATCTTTCATCAACTTTCTTGAAACAGACGGCAAGAGTTCCGAAAATATATCTGCCATGATCTTGAAGAAAATCGAGCGGGACGGTCTGGACATACAGGATTACTGAGGACAGAATTGCCGAGGGCAGGCATATGACAACGCAGCTGTGATGTCCGGTAAGCATGCCGGCGTGCAAGCCCGCATCAGAGAAATCAGCGAGAAAGCCATTTTTGTAGGCTGCACGAATCACACTCTGAACTTGACTTATTCGCACGCTGATTCGTTGTCGAAGACGTCCTCGAAGTACTCCGGAGTTCTAGAACAATTGTTCGTCTTCTTTTCGGCCTCGACGCACCGATGGACCGTTCTAACCGCCATGACCGGCTCAGTCAAGCGAATCATTAAGACTCGTCAGAGCTCAAGAGGTGATGCGGTGAATGCAACATATCGCTTCTTTTCCAATATCGTGGAAGTTCTCATGAGACCTCCGGGCGCTCAGGAGAACGCCACGACAAGATCGGTTGCCGCGATTTTGCTCGACGGGTTGCGAAGCTTCTCCTTCCCTCGCTGGCTCGGTTCCTGGACACCGATATTGCTTCAGATAAATGACACGCAAGAGTACCTCCAAACCGATGGATTAGCTATCGAAAATTGTCATCTTAAGCTTGAAGCTCTCGAGAGGATCCTCGACGAGAATCGATGGGAAACGATCGTTGATGTGATTTCTTATGCCGATGATCTATGTGCGAAATTCGGGATAGAACGGGAGAAACGCCGCGGAAGGGGGAGAAGGATCTAAACACTCAGCGAAGAACAGGAAGATTCTCCCTAGGGGCTGATGTGCGCGAGGACATGACTACAGGATCTTACGGGAGATAGCTGCAAGATTCCATAATTTCCGGAGACTCGTTTCTGGAGCCAAAGACCTTGCTGGCTGACGAATTTACTTGGGGAATCAGCAACGACGACATGAGCCCTAAAGAATTCCTGATCTAGCGAAAGCGGTTGCGTCATTTCGTCGCAGTAGTCGAGAGGCAAGAGGACGCCGACGATTGCATTCCAGGATGTCTCCCACTCTTGCGGTTCATCTCGAAATTTGAATTGACGGACAGTGTTCCAAATATTTCTATCCTGTCGAGAAACTTCCTGACCGTCGCCGTCAATGTCGCCTGCTGCGAGCGTTCCTTTTCCAACCCCAAATTGATTAAGTCATATTTACGATCCACCATGTCGGCTCCACGCTTGAGTAACTTAGCAGCTCTGTCGATAGAGAACTCCCAAGAACTAGAAGCGAACATCTGCTGAGAAATCGGCCCTGAAACAGGGTCTCATGCCTATATGTATATATAGGCTCGAGAGGATCAATAAATACCATACCATACCATACCATACCATACCATACCATACCATACCATACCATACCATACCATACCATACCATACCATACCATACCATACCATACCATACCATACCATACCATACCATACCATACCATACCATACCATACCATACCATACCATACCATACCATACCATACCATACCATACCATACCATACCATACCATACCATACCATACCATACCATACCATACCATACCATACCATACCATACCATACCATACCATACCATACCATACCATACCATACCATACCATACCATACCATACCATACCATACCATACCATACCATACCATACCATACCATACCATACAGAGAAAGGGAAATTTGAAGGATGAGAGGGGGAGATCCCAGCCAACCTCAGAGGACACCACCCCACTCATGTCGGAGAAAAAAGAGGGATTGGTGTGCTGCTTTCTGGACTGCTCGGCGGCCTATGACCGGGTATGTAGAGAGATTTTGTGGAGAACCCTGGAGAATCTAGGATTGAACCCAACATGGATAGGACTGCTCCGTCGTCTATACTCAGACACCAAAAGCAAGCTGCTACACGGAGAACACGGGATTCAGGGTGGCTAAGAGAGGAGACTTCTGGAATGTTGGAGAAAAGAAATATCTCAACATAGCTGGACTTCTATATGCCGATGACCTGACCTTGATCGGGAGAAATTTCTCGGAAATGGAAGGACTCTTAGGAACCACGTCAGAGTTTGGGGACGAGATGAAACAAAACAAAAAAATCCAACCCAACCAAGAGTGCGGTAGTAATATTCTCGGAAAGCAGCCATAGTACGGAGAAGACTTCACAAATCCAAGGTAAGGATGTACCGAAGGACACGCGCTACAAATATTTGGGAATCACTGTCTCAGACTCTGGGAACTACCCAGATATCCAAGAGGACGTCTGGGAAGAGAAGTCCCAGAAAGTTCTGAAGAAACTGCACGCGAGGGCACTCTGGGGATTCAGTAGATTTGAAATATCCAAGACTCCGTGGAAGGCAGTCGCCGTCCCAGCGCTCACCTATGCAAACGCAGTCACAGTCACGACGAAAACTCTGGAAAACAGGCTATCGACAGATCAGAACGCAGCGGAGAAATGCTCTCGGTGTTCCTTGCAGTAAGGTGGCAAACGACTTCGTCACCGAAGGACTGGGCTGGTTTTTATATAAGGCTAGAGAGGCCCAGAGTAAGATAGAATATGTCAGCAGAGTGAAATCCATGCCTGACATCATGAACATGATGGATAAAATCGGAGTCTAAACGAGGGCATACAGGAGGGAAATAGAATTGGGCAAATGCGGCGATATCACTTTGACTTTCACGCTAGAAGCTAGAAGGCACACCCCTCCTAGTGTGAAAGCAATTTTTGGTTTCGAAGCCCAATCAGAACCATTGACAATGCTTCCATACGAAACCGCTCCGAAAGCGTCCGGGATGAAGTCGCGGAAAGCTCCTAGCTCGCTGACGGAGTCTCTCAAGTGGGCCGCCTGACACTCAGCCTGTTCCGCTCCATGAATGCACCCATTCACAATGATGCATTAAAATCGTGGATGTCGTCTTTCGTGGCTTCTCCTAGAGCCCGCCTTTGAACGTCGCGATGTGCTCGGCGTTATTCTCTCCAAGACCTTCTCTTCGATTTCGGTTTCAATGGCGAAGAGTTTGGGTTTTCCTTTCCTCAATGCTCGATGATTTCTCAGGGTCTCCGGAAGGAGACCTGCCTTCATTCTTCATCGAGATAGCAGGCCATGGAGTCAGTCGTAAGCCAGTATTTCCCACTTGCGTTCCGCCGTGTGGGTATCCTCATCTTCGAAAAAAACTGATTGTTCGATCTGTGTAGAAGCCGCGGCAGGTTCGGAGAAGCAGAGAGTGAGGACAATAATGAGAAGACTCAAATCGAAAGAATGGCAGCCGAGCAGTGCCGGCTCCTTCAATGGGCTCGTATCGCGGGGCTCCTTGTCTGAAGTTCCCTATATGGAAGGTTCCGCATCTTCGAGCTTCCCTCCACGAAACGTCGTTATGCGCTCCTTGATCGTGGAGCTTCAGGGTAATACAACCTATGCAAGGGTCGATTTCTCCAATGCGAAAGTTTTTACGAGACGGGGATTATCGAATCCCGCAGAGACTCTTTATATTCAACCGACTTGAATGAACAACGTCACAGCATAAGTGTCTCGCTCTCAGGCAGGAGAGGAAAAACGGAATAGGTTAGGAATCGGCTGAACCAGGGTCTCTCGGAGCGGCTTTTTGGAACCATTCTACGGGGAACCTAAAGTCTTCATCACTCGAATGAAAGATTTACCCTATGGTGCTCCGCAGCTTTGATGAGTTTCTCTTCGAAGAGCTATTTCTTCCATTAAGGGATCTGATCTGTATCATTGGTCCGGCTACTCGATTGATCGAAAGTGAAAGTGTATGTGTCGAGCGAACATCACGAGGAACCTTCGGTTCATTTCATTCTCCGAAGTAGGAGTCCGCTGCGGACTCCTTTTCATGATCATCGATTTCGTGGACCCTGAATCCATGACGGGGTGGAGGGTCAATCGAATACTTTTGCTATCGCAGCTGGTAAAAATCGTGGTAACGAAGTCGTGACGCCAATGATACGGCATGAATGCAGGCGGCGTGCATTCAAGGTACTCTGATTTATTCGGTTCGCATTCCCCATTTTCAGATGAAGCCTAATGAGGGGGCTAATGTTCCGAGCTGAGCAGTTTCTTTCGGTTTCTGGATATGAGCGGCTTTCGATTCGAAAGTCGAGCACGCGACCGGGTGCTCTTCCCATTGATAACATCAGGCACCGAAAACCGAAAAGAATCTTCATTCTGCATTCGATAATAATCAATGGAATCTCGAAGCAATGTATCTTCATTTAGGTCGGAGGGAAACGCTTTTTACTGAGCCGGAATACTGTAGAGAATCGAGAATGAGATTCAATGCACTTCGGAACCTCCCCAGAAATCCTCAGAGATTTTGGCGATGGATGGAGCCGCGCTCCGATCCACATGTCTTTAATCAATCCCAGAAGGGTACGACCAGACGAGAAATCGACTTTTGCTAAAATTTTATCGCTGGCATCGGTCGTCGCTCATGGCGGCTTCCTGTCCAGCGCAGATGGCAACAAGTTTTCGGATCAAATGGGATCTTTGCTCACGTGAAGTGAGCGAAGGAGCTTCGGAGGAAAACATTTTCTTCTGGGGAGCGGAGGGAATCCTTCGTGGGAGCATCAATTCCACTTGGTACTCTGTCACTCACCACCAACTGTGATTCCACCGAATCTAGATCGTTTCCACCGACGTCACACGACAGGCGCTGAGACCCCCCGTCCTGGCGGAAACGAAACAGGTCCGTCGGCTCCGGGCGCTTGGTGGACTCGAAGGTATCCGGTACGGAATGATATATGTATCGCACTGCTGCTCCCCGATGACTGCTTCCAGGGTGAATCATGTGGAACGGAAAATGGACCCGAGCGTAAGATTTCCTCTTTGTTCTGTTCCCGAGTGAGAGATGGCTTTATTGTCTCTTAAAAACGTGCTCAAAAGCAAGTCCTTCATCTGGTTCCGACGTCGTCCCTTAACTCATCTCGATCTTCGTCGATATTTACAAACGATTATCGTAGCTCTCTTCCCCCTCAAACTCCGCCTTCCAAAAATGCTACCTTGGACGACGATGGACCGCATGGCTTGCGCAGAACGACATGACATCACCTCTTGATCGGTTCTCAATGGCCCCAAAATCATCATTCGCTGTAGAAAACTCTGTTAGACAATCTTCAGAGGATCTGAGTCAGTGATCTCCGATTCGATCTTTCGGTGGCCCGCTGACGATGTCTCAGGGTATCCGAGTCCCGAAGTCGATCACCGCAGTATTTACACAGATCACCCGAACCCGCGAGATGAGATTAGAAAAGTTTAGTAGTTTAGCAGGATCGTTCCTCCACGGTGTGATGTCTACAATGATTACGAATATCCACAGATCTCAGACCCCCCTCCCCCATGTTTCGTCTTCCAGATTCGACTACGGAAGGGAAGACAACTTGGAAAGCTGAGCTCGTCCGTTGCATCAGCTCAGGAAGTCTACATGTGGTTGTCCGACACAATCACCTGGCACAACGTCCTACTGATGGACAAGTATCCAAGATATAAACATTTGGAAAATTAGACAGCTCCTCAATGAACTCCGGTCTAGGTGGTTTCCGTCAAATCGACAAACAAGACCGAGACACGAGAATTTCAGGCCGAATTCAAGCCATGCTCAAAAGCAAACAATAACAAACGTATATTCACTCACAGAGTCTTCCTGATGAGGGAAAATAATCAAATCGTTGGCCACGCCTAACAAAGACCGGTAAGATCGGAGCAAGGCAGTACGGCGCAGCAAGCTTTCCAGGCTCCGACTGCCAAAACTACGTTTGTGGCGTAATTCACGTACTTCAAACGTCTGAGATGACTCTTGGCTTGATCTAAATTCGTCAAGTCCTCTTTGAGGATATATTGACGAATACCGAAACAGTAACTTTGCACATAGGAATTCCAATCTATGGTGCGCACGTCGAAGTTGAATTCACTCTTGTCGCTTGGATGCAGGCTCTCGAAGAGCTTTTGAGTATTCGTGTTCTCGAAAGTCCATTCGTTCGTAGAGAAAAACTCCAAGAGACCCATCGAATTGGACAGGCGCTCGTAGAGACGCGCGAGCACCGGTTTCTTGCCCGCACAGCGTAGCACGGCGTCGATCATTTGTGCCGGTACGTAATGCTGTAGGAAGAGACGAGCTTGATGCAAGAATTTATACGAGGTGATTCGAGGGTGCGGATAACGCACAATCGACGTCGTCGGATATTGGTGCGGGAAGTCGACGGATTGTTCCATGAATGTCCGCCTATAATTTCAGCGAGTTAGTTTTTTCCTCCGAATCAGAGAGGTCTCCTGCGGACGATTGAATGAAACGCTGTGGTCCTCACCATTTCACGGGGTTCTGACCACCTGACGTACAGTTGTATATCTTGAAACCTTCCTTAGTGTCCTTCGCCGCTGCCAAGATCGTGTTCGCCACAAGATCCACGGGTATCAAGTCAGCAGTGCAGTCGAGTTGAGTGTAGAGACTGGTCAGGACTCCGGTCCCCAGTGCGATCAAGAGCCCGTTTGGGCCATTGTAGTTGTCCACCCAACCAGGCAACGGTTCGAAAGCGGCCCCTGAGGATCGGCAAATTATGAGTTACTACCACCGCTTTTCACACCATCGCAGTGAATTGGGGGATTATCCCCGCTGTCGGTATCGTCGGTCAGCGCCTGAAAATTTTCCAGGCAGCTCACGAAGTCTGTCCACGACGACCCGGATCGACACACAGCATTGCCTTGTCGACATAGTCGAGTGTTCACAGAAAACGGCGATCCGCTTCTCCGACTTCGATGCCATTACGAAACGAATGAGATGTAATCACTCCGCAAGAATCAGAGAATCCTCGTCCTGTCATTGAGCTTCACGCCATGAAGTTTCGCTTGCGTGGAGATTCACATACATTCGATTGTTGTGGGGAGGACGCCCCGGGATCGGGTGACACTCACCGGTGATAATCGATGGACGAACTATCACTATGGGCATTTTGTGAGAGTATTCTTCAACCAGGTTTTCGGCTAGGGCTTTTGTGAACGTGTAGGTGTTGGGCCTATCCTTCAAGAGCTTCGGGGTCAAGTGCTCGAGAAGATCTTCGGTCATCCACTCACACATCGACATCACATGAGCTGGCTTCAGCTGGACAGGAGAAAGGGAGGAGAGATACACTTTTTAGGGTGCGTAAGGGCCAAAGATGCAAACTAGGTTTCGTATCAGATTCATTTTCTCCGTCTCTTTGGAAAATTACTTTCGAATGAATTGGGAAGCTGATTCCGATTTGGGACATGTGTTTCCCCCTCTATCTACATGTATTTTCTCCCTTTCGAGTTCTCGAGAGCTCTAGCGTTGAGCGCATGATTACCTCGCACTTGTAAGTCCTCTCTCCGACGTCCCTAAACTGGCAGTTCGAGTAAGCTGTCGAGACATGCACAAAAGAAACGAGGTTTTTCACGCTCTTCGCGAACTCAAGGACCTTGTAGGTAGCTCTGAGGTTCATTTCGACGCTGCTACGGAGTGGTTCAGAGAAACGCACCTGGAAAAGTGAAGGGACGTTCGCTATGAGATCTGCAAGTGAAAATTGAGTCGAGAAAGCGCGAATCACAGAAATCATTGCCTCCGTCGCCCGCAGCGGAAGTTCGCATCAAAGGCGTTCGACGCGCACTGATACGCTGCCGATGGAGCGGAGTCACCTCATCGGCGATGAGCTAAGCTAACCGGACGGCATTTTCCGGGTTCCTTCTCATACAGAAACCGCATCGACTCCGGAATTACTTCATGTTAACCGAAATCGACGTGCTCCTCCCCAAGGAGGACATTCGGGGCAAATCCATCGTCCGCTCATCAGTCTCAGGGGTAACATGCGTGAGGAGAGTAAACAAGAGCATCCGTCACGGGGCGTCCCGATCAGGTTGATAAGAATATCACGGAATCAGAAGGAATCGCTCTCGAAGGTCTGTCCCGATGATGTTCCTGACGTCAGCGCTAGAAGATGAGATTATCCTCCACATTCTACAAGGAAGCCACGCAATGAGAAGAGCGGCAGCTCATAAAAACGGGGTCCCGAACGTTACGTCTCAGAATTCTACGAAGGTGGACGGCTGCTGCGGAAACCCGAATGTTGAGGCAGAGGTCCGTTTTCGCTTCTCCTGAGAATGGCCGCGCTCACCCGACGGCATCTACGTGGACTTAGAACGGAAAGGCGCCATGGATCGTATCGAATCATTTTAGGAATGTCATCGGATTAGGAATTTATCTCCTTTCTCGGGGAGCTCCTGCTCTCGAAGACGCGATACTGAGATTCGTATTTCCCCCAGAGAACTCGCTGCGCTTTCTGAGTGAGCTCCAAATTCAGAGGGGCAACCCGAATCAGCTGAGTGAGTTATGATTGCAGTTCGCCGAATGGGCGAACGATATGTCGAGGTGATAGGACTCACCGAAGCAGCCGAATGGATAACCACAGTGATTTTGTCGTGGAGCATGCTTCGGTCATTGTCGTGGAGTATAATTTTATTCTTCAACAGATCTCCAGAGATGAACTTCACCTGCGAGAGAAGAAGTCTTAAGTTCAGGCGGCCTCCGATTTGAGGTGACCGCCTCTGAGGAGCAAACATTTCGCGTTTCCCCGCATGCGATCAGCCGATCGCTCCTCCCGAGCCTCTGATTAGCAAATCGCTCCTCCCGGGGAGTAGGGAACATTGCTCTCGATCGCTCACCTTAGTGAAGCATTCGGGTTTGTCACGTCGCAGGTTATCGAACAATTTCTCGGTCAGGATCGCGTTGAGGCGATCTTGGCCGTTAGTTCCTTTCTTCTCTCGAATGAGTACGTAGATAGCCTCCACGTCAGGACATGACCGCAACAGTTTCTCCACCATCACCTGCGGTCGCGGAGAGAACACATCGATCGAGTTCCCGATAGAACGGCCAGAGTTGAGCTATTGCGATTGTAGCGATTAGAGAACTTCCTGAGAGTCGATCTTCACTAACCTTGCCGAGAAATCCGGAGATGCCGGTGAGGAACACGTGCTGTCCAGCGAAAAAATCGGGTATAGTAGTCATGCTTCAGCTGAATGGGGCAAGCAAGCGAAAACTGCAAGAGGAGATAGAATTAGGCTAGTCGATTGAGTTCTTGTACTTCGATGGTCGACTCGCGGTTTCCACAGAGCCAACAGACTTCGCAGCGTCGAATGCATCGACAACTGGAGGCAGCAACGTCGCCGACCGGCAAAGAATTGAACGCTACACCCGCGCTCCATGGTCACTCGGCTTGGTCGGTGCAGCTCTGTCGAACCAGGCTTTCGACTTGAATCCGAGTCACAGATATCTCTGAGCGGAGGCCTGAAGTTCTCGGTAGTTCCTCATGTTCGGGGCCAGTACCATTCGCCGCGGCACACAATAGCATACGGGCGATTTATATATGATGACGATGTGGTACTCGACGTTCGGATGCTTCAAGACTGCGGCTGCATCTCAAGGTATCGACACCAATTCCGGCTCCTCCCGTCGTTTGTTTTTTCCAGGTGCGCGCATGTACCGCTTGGCGAAATCGCATCGATTTCCCCCACATTTATCAGGTAATAGCGATAGCTAGCATATCTCGAATTATTATCGATCATGCCCGAGAATGGAGAGCTCTATCGTGTCGAGAGCAGGGTCATTACACAGTCTGTCCGCGATCGTAGCCAATCAAGCATGTAACATTCGGTCGTGTTCGATTCTTGAAGTTTGCGCAAGTCGACTTCGTCGCGCCATCACGCTCGGAATCATCTCAACACATGACTCCATCAGACGATAGGAGTCCATTGCTCTTATTCATTCCGATATGGTTGAAGCATGTTTTCGGATGGGAACTCGCCATCGTTCCGGAGCGCGGCTCAGAAGAGCATCACGGCAAAGTCTCATAATTCATGACGCGGGGAAAAGTCCCCGACAAACAGGTAGCTTCGAAATAGCCGGATCGCGCGAGGATTGAAGTCGCCGAGCAAGACTGGACTAGGAACAGAGTGTTCCCATCTCCAGTTTGAAGTCTCAAACTTGGGCGCGACTCGAACGCTATTCGGGAGCTTTTCACCGCGCACCTGAATCGATTAGAACGGGGTCTCTGAGTTCGAGCTGCCTACGGTAATCCAATCCGACGGACTCACGTGCGGTTGATGGGGATGTATCTGCTTCGGGATCGTGCCACCGATCGTTCGATTTGTTGACCGGCAAGACTCGGAATGAGAACTAAACAAGAACCGGTGAAGTCTCAATGAGATTGATTGGAAAGAATCGCTCGCTTGTGGTGGTGTTGGTACTCCCAGAGGGAGCTCCTCTCGCACAACTCACTCACTTACTCACATTGCGAGGAAGCCGAAAGAGAGGAGGGCTCGACAGAGAGGGCCGTGGCAAGCTATACTGAGGTTGGTAAGGAACGAGTGCTCGCCTGCTCCTCTAGTGAGGGAGGGACGGAAATTGGAGTTTCGGGCGGGGAATCTGGTTTAGTTTATTCGCTCAAATGAACCCGGTCTTTTATATCACATGAAATTTTGCGAGCTGAACGTGACTCTGAATGGAACGTCCGGTTGACTGATGACGCTTTCGGATAGAGATTTCCAGTGGTCCTCATTCGATCGAGTACCGAGGTAAATCAGCGAAAAAAAAGCCGGCTAAAACGCGGAAGCTGTATGTATAATATGTATTTACGCATTCTTCTCCCTCACGATTGGATCGAGATTCCGATCTATCGACCTCTGGAGCCCTGGCATATTCTGATTGACGCCAAATGAGTCGGAGATCGGCAGTCTCGCTCCGTCTCAGCATCCAAATAATGAAGAGGATGGGTCGGAAGGCGAATACACTAAGCTCTAGACTCTCGACGCTGGACGGAAATGTTCCAGACGAAGAGCCTCCCGAATCCTGTTTCTTCGTCCTAATCGGAGAGTTTGCCCCGTTATGCTCTATCGATTCTCGTGGCTTCTCCGTTCCACCTTATCTGATTCTGGATCGGAAAGACATCAGCCGGAATCGATAATAATCTAGATAACTCGATGGAAGAGATGTTGAATATTCTCGGGACCGACTCTGACACAGGACGGCCAACATTCGCATGGCCGTGGAAACGGTAGTCAGGGAGCCGGTCTTTCGCGGCTCATTCAGTGAGAAGAACATTTCTTCGACGTTTCGATTACGTCTGTGTTCTCTGGTGCTGTGGGAAGCTGTTCACTCTCGGAGTGACCTCGGAGTTCTCGCATGGATATCGAACCATTCTCTAAGACAGGAGCCTTCAGCCCGACTCTGAACTTTTGGGTACGAGTAAACTTCAACTCCATAGAGCGTGCGAATTCCATCCGCTGGGAGATCACGAACATCACACCTCTCCATTCATCTGAATGCTATTCGGTATGCTCATCTCAGTCACCTTCCGAAGGAGAATCACAATCCGAGGGTCTCCCAGACACGGACTCACTGTCCTCTCTTCTCTTGTGTGACGAGTGAGCTCGACATGAACTTTGAAAAATCAGTCGAAATCGCCCCCGATTGATTAATTCTGTGGCGACGACTCGGAATGACGCAAATATTGTTTCCTGCACACGAGTGTCCGATCGATTCGCCTTGAGATAGCGGCGCATCCCTCTTTGGATCCCCGATGTGAGGATGAAAAGCATAGCCGTCTTATCTGCTGGGATCCCATGTCGACGAACGACGCAGGGAAAACATCGAAGAGAGACGCGAGAGCGCCTTCCAGAAATCATAAGAATTTTGGGAATGTTCCAGAACGGATGACGCCTACGGGAACGGAAGGAAACATCAATCTGACCCCATGGATCTACGGCGAAAGGATAAGTCAGCGCTGCGCGGCGGAGTATCAGTTCGGACTGCTGGGCCGGGATTTTCTGAAAGATCGAAACCTCGACTTCCGATCCGGAGCGCGCTGTCCGTCTTTGGCGTTATGATCTCACAGGAAAGAAGTTATTCTCGATTTTCGTTTGCAGTAAAAAGGACGGGAAGTTGACATCTGTATTCCACATCAACGTTTCGGATCGCTGGGCTTCACAGCTAAGCTCACGTCTATCAAGAAAAATAATACAGCGTCGCCACCCAGAAACACTCCGTTCGAGCTTGGCACGTTTTTCCTGATCGTTGAGAGTTCAGAGAAGCTTAGCGAACGAGGTGGACTATTTTCCCTGACATGACATGGTTCGCAGTTTCTTCTCCAGACGATCCGGAGCACTTAGCTGGAGAATCAAGCCGGAAGCGGCATTCTCGGCAATACTAATCTGAAGGCAGACATTCGATGAATTCGACGCGCGAGAGGTGTCTATCCCCCGGCGAGCAGGAACGTTCGCGCCTCAAAACCCGGATTCGGCCGAGATGTTTGGCGTGAAACGTGCTCCACCGATTCAAGTTTGGAACATCCGTTCCCTTCCATAGCAAACTCTAAGACTGTTCCAGACACCGAAGATCTTCCAACATTCTCCGACGTAAAATACGGAGGGACTGCGTCAAGGTTGGATCCCGAGTTTCCTCATGAGAAGAAGAATCAAGGAACCAGAATAGATTCGTCCGACTCAACGGACTCGAACGAGGATTCCCAGCGAATGTCTCGCGATTCTTCACTCAGAAACCCGATCTGATGACTATTCTAATGAGATTGATCGGTCGGTCACGAGTCTCTCGCGAGCGGAGCTCCTTGATAACTTTCCTCTGATCTAAGCGGAGTTCGGGAGGGTGGAAGCTTAGCTCATTCCGGGTAGGGATTGGCATGTATTAGATTAAATGTCACAATCATTATGATCATCCTCAGTGTTTTTGAAGAACATCATATCATGATTATCACCACCACTCGAGCGTGCCGATCTTCTTGCTCTCGGACACCGATAGATATCATCCTAAGATATCTTGTTCCTCGAGCCGAGCTTGATCGGTATGAAGTTCAATGCTCCCGCTCGGGATCTTCCGCCGGTGGAATGCAATTCTTTCCGTTCGAAGATAAGGGCGACATTTCCTAGGAACGTTTCGAATTCTCACTCTGTGTCAAAATGAGAAAAACAAGCGGGAAGCGTTTCCGATTGCCACACTCCGAGTTTCTGGTCCAGACATCTGAGCTAGATAAATTCATCCGAGACGAATTCTCGCCGAAGACTCGAATGATATATTACATGCACATATGAGCTTTTTTTCCTCGTTTTGACCTTGTGTCGGAGCGATCTAACTCTAATTGACACGTGCGTTTCCTCTGCGCGATTCAGAATATTGATCCTGTCTTCCTCATCTCGTATTTTCCTAGTTCCATGTATCGAGACTTCGTAGATGCTGTTCTTAGGATCTTCCATCTTCATACTCTCGATCCTTAGGTATCATTCGTCATCATCATTGCTTGCATATCGCTGTTTCCTCGAGGCAGGGGGCGCTAGCGGATGACTTCTTCTTGCAAGCGGTCAGCGTTCAGTCAGCATGTTGTTATACGTAGGCCTCCGATCAGCAAGACGCTATCCGATAGCGAATGTGATTTGTCTCGCGACCTGACCCGGATATCGGCCATCGAAATGAGGAGTCATCTCGGCGGTCGTTTCCCAAACCGACCCACCGTCTCCGAACTGACGTTGTGATCTTCGAAAGGGAGGAAACGGACCAAGACTTGATTCGTATGGCGAGACCATCGTATCCCGATTTATTCCAATAGCAGCACGCTCTATTTTTCCCAGTTCCATTCGAACATGGAATAATTTTAAATCGAGGGATTCTTGAGAAAAATAGTTGTCCCGAACACCACATGGATCCAGAGCTCGGACACGTGGTCTTCTTCCCGGTCCATTGGAAGGGTTCAATTGAAGCGATGAACGGCGAGCATCGGGCGAAATCCGGGCATCGGGCTCTGCAGCACTAGACTAGGGGAAACAGTGACCTTCTTCGAAAGCTGCCCGGTGCGCGAGGGCATTTCTCTGCGTTGCTCAAGAAATAACTTCGTGTATATGTACAATTGGAACTGGGTCCCGAGAAATATGTGACCTCATTTAGATATGATTCTTGATACTGAGTATGACGACGAGAACTAAAACGAACACCACTGTCCCAATGGCCAGCTGACCAGCGATACGATTCTGGAACGCTTTCCGAAGCATGGACGTTAATAGCTGAGAACTGCGCCCGACTTCGTGGCTCGTTTCTCTCATCTGGAATGGAAGAGCAGATCGTCAGCTCTAAGGTATCGAATCACAAGCTTGAATTACGCATCACGCAACACCTACCCGCTCTCTTGCTCGAGTGATCACTTCCCGCTGGTTTCCGAGCTCCCCGAGGATCTCTGCTCCAACTTGTTCCGTCTCCACAGCGAGTTGCCGACCCGCCCGCAACTGTCTCGTGCTCCTCTCGAGCCTCTCTGTAGTATCCAGCAACTGGGCTTTGTCGTCGATGGGGAAGTCTCCGCTTTCTCTCGATGAATATAAATCCACCCGAGATGTCGATTTCGCGTCGAGCTGCAAATTGAGCGGTTTTATTTCGCACCGATGTCATGGCCCAAGCTTCGGCCTCTCCTATGCTCCAGCCTCATCTCAAGGAGGACCGAGCCCATTCCGAATTTGAATCGCCGAAGAATGCGATCCCGGGAAGCTGTACGAGTTCAATGTGAGGGAAAAGTTTTCCGATTACGTCAGAGGACTAATCCGGCGACAAGCAGAACCGAAGGATAGCTTACGTATTCCTGTTTGAGTCTCTTCAATTCGACCTGATAGCTTCTCACCCGGTTGGCGTACTTCGACTTGAGTTCTGGAACCATGGATTGAACTTCAAGTTCCATCTGCTCAAGCTGGAAAGAAAATTGATCCTATGGTTTGTGTCTGCGGCATAGACTAGTAAACCCCATTCCGTATCTTTCGCGAGGGATAATCCGAAAATGGACCAAGGGTGAGCCGCGGTCGAACGGGGGGCTTGGGTTCGATTGATAATTTCTGGCCAGACAAGTGTCAGATGGTGCCTGATCGCGCTGTCACTCGCTGCGGAGTTTCACTCGAATCGGGACATTTCAACTTACGAGCTCATTCGCCTCATCGAGCAACTTCTCGGTTCCTCGGACATTACTGTTCCGATCGACATCGCCTGCGGTGGATAGCGACGATATTTTCGTGGTAATTTCAGCTGAAAGTATGGCATATTGCTGTTCGAAATCCTCCATGAGAGTCGCCATTTTTGTTTTGAGCGAGAAGCGCAGATCCCTGCGGCGAGCAGAGAGTCAACACGATCCGCCGCGCCGTCAGTTCGGGCGGCTCACTCGTGATCATACACCGAGTCGATGAGGACTAGCTCGAGAACCGAGGTACGCGTCAATTGGGAATCCTGTGGTGATCGCAACCGTCTCCGAGTGGAGTATCGACTCGTCTTTGAGAGTGGTTTTATTCAGAAAGAGAGAGCCGTCTCACGTCCAGATCGCGATCCACTTAGTACCACAGTGGTGCCGAGCGCGATGGATCCGAGTGTTTCGAAGATCATGGGCTTTTCGGTTCCTTGGTGCATGTGCTTCTCATCGATAGATTTTACGTTTCGACTAATATTGTCCAAGGAACTCGGCTGAAATCACTCTATCTCGCTGGATATTTTCCGCTCCCTTGTACGTTGCCTCAGGAGTGAACGTATCAGGAGCTCGGTCAATGTATCAGAACCTTGGTAAAAGTATCAGAATCTTGGCCAATGTATCGGAGCTTGGTCAATGATTCAGGAGCTCGATAAACGTATGAGGAGCTCAGTTCATGCCTCGGGACCTTGGTGCATGTATTAGAGGCCTCGAGCGGCTGCGCTGTCACTCTCTCACAATGGAGTGAGGAGAAAATCCCAGGAGCCTCCGGAAACATGATTTGTTCAGGGTATTATACTTCATTCCGGACACCGCGATGACTTATGGAATCCTCGCTGGAAAGCGGTTTTGTTGAGCGGCTGCAATCTCCGTGTCACGATACTTCACCTATTCCCGATCCCCTCCAAGATAAGCGTAACACGAGGTTCTACAGGAGATCGGAGCCGTCTGACGAAATTGTCGAGAGGGAGTTGAGCTGAAGTGTATACACACACTCTTGAATGTCAGTATGGCTAGTATCACGAGTTATCGGTTACCGATGACTCCCTGAATTTATAGGGGAAATATTCCATGGATCGCGCCGATATACGCTCCAGTTTGTCGCGGGGCGATCATCGCCCGCCATGGCTGACAGATCAAACCGGGAGAGAAGTTCGTATTCGAGCGCTAACGTGTGCGTACCCGACTGAGCGCATCTGATCGAATACTCGAGGCGCACGGAGCCAGTATCTAGACTTGCCGAGGATTCGGAGTTACGGCTCCGAGAGGAGCCCCGGACCTGGGATTCCTTGTCGAGGGGGAAGGAGCAGGATTCATCCTGGTCATGACGGAGATCTCTGGATGGCGAAGCTAACCTATGCCCGTGCGTTATGGAAAATGAATTAGAACACGCTTTCGACGCACCCGGCATCTGATGGTTCGCTATGCGGCAATTATTGGTATCTCCCAAGCTTTATGCTCCATGCACTCCCTTGACATTTCGTTCACGGTGGAGGGCAGCTAGAGATGAGGAACGCAATCCCTAATCCCCCGCTTCGCTTCATCCTCGGAATTATCTGCAACCTGAATCTGCGGGCGATCAGCGCATGAGTACGACAGCCTTGCTCCAGGAAGACCCGTAGAGCTGTCCTGGAGTTCCGCTTTTCCTCGAGCATGCTCAATGAATTGGATTACCTAATTTCGATGCAGACCATCCATCTGTTCTCCCATTGGTGCGTCGCGTCGTCAGGCTCGTCTCGCGTTCTTGTCGCGGTGCTCTGTGGTCAGCGGTGTACTGTTTCATCCCGGACAGGAAAGTGAACAGTATCGCGCTTCTTTTGGGATAAGAGTCGAGCAAGATTCTCCTCCCCTCTTGTCGAGCACGCGCGGGTCCTTGGAAAGAAATCACGACTCCCTCAAAATATCCAAGTTCGGTATTTCGACACTCTCTGCTGCGATCGGCCCTTGGAACCGCGTTGGAACTTCTCGAAGCTTACTGCTCCGAATCCTCGAACGAGGAAGCTCAGTCTTGGCGAAGTGCGGTCCGAGAGAGTGCTTTTCAAGATCAGTTTGAGCTCTCTCGCATGAGTAATCGACCGCAGCAGTTAGCTATCACAATCATCATCCTGTCAGCTGGCTCCCAACAACACTGCGCAGTGAAAGTACGGGGGGATCCTGTGGCGCCATGAGCTCAAACGACGCAGAGATTCCTGCGTTCAGCAAGGGGAATTCGTTCGCCCCCTTCCGTCAGGCCAGCGTTCAGTACAAGAAGCCCTTCATCATTGGTGTCGCTGGCGGCACCGCATCCGGCAAGGTAACGTTCGATTTCTGTGCCGAATCGGCGCGCTACAAAGGCGGCCACTCTCCGGCAGTCTAAGAATTCCGTGAGATCTCCGTCGGACGATATGACGACCCCTCGTTGTCTCTATTTCGATCATGGAAATAATGATTGTACCTCTGGTAATGAAGCTCGTCTCGACAGACGACGGTATGCCACAAGATAGTGGAGAAACTGGGGCAAAACCAAATGGAGTCAAGACGGCGACAGGTCGTCGTTATCAGCCTCGACTCCTTCTACCGGGAAATCGATGGCGGAGTCGTCCCGAGAAACTACAATTTCGATCATCCGAGTGAGTCAGAGGAGTCGACGAGTCAGAGGGCTCGGAATCGGTGAACTGACAGCTGTGGATATTCCTCCACTAGTTTCCTTTACTCGGAATGATCCGGATCGAATTTCCGTTCTTCCCAGATGCCATCGACGAGGAGTTATTGTTGCAAACAATTCGTGATATCAGAGCAGAGCGTGTGGTGAAGGTGAGGGAAATCGACTTTGCGGTGACACATCATCATGATGCTCCGGAATCATTCTCCGCCCCCCTTAGAGACCACTGAGAACATGGTCGAGCCGGTGCCGGGGGACCATTCTTCCTCCGGCTTGGCGATGATTGAACCTTCTTATTCCCAGATTCCTGTCTACGACTACCAGCACAACTGTCGGAAACAGAACGAGTTCAACGTTATTCATCCTGCGGACGTGTATCTAATCGAGGGAATTTTAATCTTCTACTTTCCTCAGGTAGGTGTAAGTTTCTGACTAGAGGGGCATGCTACCGGGGAGGTGACTAGGCCTCACGCGGGTCCCAGGCTTCGCTTGTAGACCCTTGGCGCACGGCAGATTTTCGGTGACAGATCGTCTCTTGCCAAATTCAATTTGTTCTCCCCGCTTGCGGCATCACGGCAAGGTTTCTCGAGAATTATGGTGCTACGAAGGCACAGCGAAGACGGCCCCCACAAGAATGACCGCTTCCTTTCCAATGGAAGACTCTCCAACGTATGAATAGCGGTGACCCATAGTGCTCGACGCTGAATGGCCGCTCGGCAGCGGGATCGGATCATCGGGGAAGAAGCTTGGGGAACACTGAGGGTATTCTAGGGAAGGAGTCTGCCAAATGGAACTCGATTGAAATGACGCTGATATAGAAAAGTATCTATTATATCATCCGTTGTCACGTGAGCCAGATCCGCGACCTGTTCGACATGAAATTGTTTGTTGACACGGATCCCGACACTCGACTTTCACGGCGTGTCTTAAGGGACACTCAGGAGTGGAAACGAGATCTCGAAATGGTTCTCCATCAGTACACGAAGTATGTGAAACCAGCTTTCGAGGAATTCTGCTTACCGGTGAGTGTCATGCGATACATTCGGAAGCGTCAACGGTCTCCGCTGGTACCTGGGAGGTACTTGGCGGGAATATTTGGCTAAAAAAGTATCTCGCTTCTCAGACAAAGAAGTACGCAGACGTCATCGTACCGCGAGGAGCCGACAACGGAGGTGAGAGAAGGAGAATTTTCTCCCTCAGGTCTGGGTTTCATACAGGAGAATAAAGCGGGTTGAGCGCCGAACGAAAATCTCACCTACTTTGATTTACTCAACAGTTGCCATTGATCTCATCGCGAAGCACATAAAAGAACTGCTAAACAAATGACTTTCGATCTACTGATGGTTCCCGGAGCACCGAACAACGTGGACTACATTCGACGGTCTCACGTACTCACGGAAAGGCCCAGCTTACACAGTGCTTGTTGAATTTCGCTCGAATTCCCGCGCCAGCCTCGTCGTGGGCCGGGAAATTCTCTGTATAATAATATGAGTCTTTATCGCGTGGAAACTCGCGGTAGATAAAGGATGACCCTGGTTTTTCATTCATGGATTCCATCTCCCGGCCGCGTAGTCATTGTAGCGACGTCCGAGCTCGAGAGGTTCTCCGCATTGGCGTCAAGAGATGTCGGATCGTGACTCGAGTCCGTTGTGCACCGCGTTGTTCGCGCGACTTCCCGAGCTCAACTTGACGTCTTTCAATAAGTTTCATGAAGAGGCGCAGCCTCACAATCAGGTAAATAGAACAATCCGATAAACTCTGATCGCAGATGATGTCGGTCCGTATATATGGAGTTTTCTGGCGGACGATTCCCCATTGGTAGTGTTTTCCACGTAGTACTCCGAAGTCCCACTTATGAGAAACCTCTCGTTCCCCAGAGAATCCATATGAAGTAGGGACTTCGTCCCCATGGACGCAAATGTGGAAGACCCTTATCTGATAGCTTATCACTGATATCTGATAAGAGATAATTGCGAATACTTTGATCGCGGAATAAGCTCGAGTTGTCAGCCATTCGTGGATCGTTTGCAGACAATGTGCCACTCGACTACCTGCCGATGGGGAGCGGATCTTGAGTAGACGAGTTTATACCGAATTTCCTCTGATCGTTATGAGTCAGCGGTGTCATCCCGAATCCATATTAGGGCTCTCCGATCCAGCTGTGGCATCGTGAGCTCATTAGTGAAATATTCCGGAGCGCTGCGGAATCGACAAGCGAGATAGAGGAAATAAGGTGTTCGGATAATCAGAATTATTGGGCTCGAGGCTCGAACTACCCCTCTCCGCACTTCGAGTCGCGGGTCGTAAGTCGTGAATCAAGCTTTGGACAAGACGAAACCAGAAGCAAATCGAAGCAAATACTATCTGAGGTTTTCTCATGTTGAGTAGTTTATTTTTCCTCTCTTTCTTGGAATTGTCGCTCCCGAAATGACCATCTCCTTAGCGCAGATAATTGTGAACAATTCGTATCGGTAATATTATTTTGGGGGGTTTCTGAAGAAGTCCAAGAAGTACATGTGCTAGAGTGTGGTTGTTGACGATCGTCCGTCGAACAGAGCAGTATTAGAAAAATTGAACAAGATATTACGGGCGATTCAATTCAAGTTATGCCTAGATTTGGATGAAAGCTAGACTCTTCCTCCGATATATTTTGTCGGAGAGTCCCCGCCGGCTCAGAGAGCAGAATTGATAGATGACATTGAATCACAACACCGGAAGGATCGTCTCGCTCGACAGATCGCTTGATTTCAGACCCGAAGATGCGAGGAAGCGCCGGGTCCGGCCGTGGGAAAACGATTCTTGGAACGTAGTTTACGTAAATGCGCGGAAAGTTCCGTTTTCGCCATCAGAGGTTGTCGTTTGTCGTTCGCGCAAAATATCTTATTCGTATCACTGAAAGCGGAAAACTAATCCAGGGGGACGGCTCGACGGTTCCTCCAAATAATATTGGTCGGAATGACTCAGTGACACGAGTTCGAGCGTCATGCTCCTGGTTTCGTCCGGACAGAGAACGTTTGATTCAGAATCGAGGTCTCTCGAAAATGGGGCGATGCGTGGTGTCTTCTCTGGAAACTGGACCCTCATCCCTCCGGGGAAGAACGAGCACGACTAGAGATAACGTCTTGTTCTAGTACTTTGATGAGGAACTTTTGCTCTCGAGACGATCGTCCCCAAGAAACCTCAAGCAAGGACTCCTCGAGAACTCAATTGAAAATACTCTGAGGTTCCCGAGAGGAAGGCCCGAATCTTGCGGCGCAAATGGATATCTTCGCTATGCCTTCAGCGATCTCTGCTGGTCCTCACCGGGAAGGCTCGAAGGGCTTTAATTGATACATCCAATTATTGTATTCGAGGGTCGTGAGAACAGGTCTCCATTTGGGTTGAGCGATTGCGACGCATGAACTCAATATCACGAGCTGACGTTAGCCCTCGTGACGATGCCGAGGACTGTTGGCCACATCGGGTCTACTTTCCGGGAGCGGTACCCAATCTCGGCGCATATGTCCTGTACCCTCCGACTGGAATTCCGATGGCAGTGGTTGAGAGCTTCAAGCCCGCCAAGATCGGATTCTCCAGGTCCTGTCTCAACGAATAATATACGCTCCGCATATCGATCAGTGATGCTAGTTCGACGAGCGATCGGTCCTGTGGAATCTAATGGAAAAAACATAAATTCCGTAGGATCATTGATATAGTCATTCAAACGGTCGGTCGCTATTTGGCCGATAACTCCGCAAGTGTTTTTTTCTCCTGAGATTGAAAAGTTCGCTCGCAACGTCGAAATGTCGACGGGAAACACTCGACACAATGAGCGCGTCGGGAGCCCACTGGAATATCAAGGCGCAAAAGTTCTCCAAACATCGGAGCAACTGAAGCCGGTAAAACAATCAACGGCGGATCGTTGAGTTTTGTGGAGATGCTTCTCGTCTCTTTTGGGTTGTCTTGCGAGTTAATGAGCGAAGTGAAAAGACCTAGTTCCGATTTCCTCTGCGTGTTCACGGACGAACTGACCGAAGGGCTCCTTCTCTCAAAGTTGCAACTGCGCGAGGAATTAGGACAGATAGTAGAATCGATCGATCGATGGATACATATATTGTAAAAGTTGCAGGTATGGGAGACTCGATAGTCCGCCCGATCGTCCGTCGGTTCGTCTTCTTCCGTATGTGAGACATGCCAAGATATCGAGATGCCGACGGACGACAGGCAGACAGGCTTCGAATGGGCGTCAACGGTAAGAGCAACATCGTATGAGCATGATCATCATTATCAAATCAGTGCTGGTATAGTGGTCGTAGAGTAGCATCGAAGTATCAATTACAGTCTCATTTCCAGCGTATACTCGTCATCATCGATGATTATTCGCCCTTATAATCAATCTGTTTCCATCGTTCGCCGCCTCGGCAGTACAACTATGTCGCAGCAGGAGAGAGGAGATAAAACAGAGATTCCTTTTAGTTACGCCCCACTCACCGAATTGAGTCAGTTTTTATCGACCTATTTTTTCGAAAGTCATCATCGTCAAAAATCGCTATCCATTCCCTCCAAGGTCATGCGTCATGTCAATCACCTTTGGAGGCAAGTTCCGAAAGAGAGACACTCATAACACTAACCATAATTGAATGGATTTAACGCGCACGCCGAAAATTCCGACCCATCGGTAAATTATCAGTTAACCAATAATCAAATTGAGGCCGACGGCTCGGTATTATCATAATCACCATCATACTTTCAAGAAAACACGCCTTGGGAGTCTTCAAGGAGTCCTGTCGGCGATGAGTCATCGATCAGGAATCAGCGGTATTTGAACTCACGACATTTAGGTCCTAGAGATCATTCGCTGCTTCGTAAGCGTATCCTAGAATTCGAGCGGGTTTGTCTCCTGGAGGGAGAGAGCTCGGGTAATAGGAGCCGAGACTTCTGATTCAATTGGCGAACATAGATCGGAACCGAAAATCGTCATCGCCGACTTTCTCAGCGTTGCAAACTGTCGTCTCTCTTTCCATCGCGAGTGTGCTCACTTAATCAGAAAAAATACAACATGCTCACCGAGCTTCCTCTCCATAGTGTTCAATCCATCACTCATCGATCAATCAATCAATCACTTAGTCATCCTTTCAAACTTATCCAGATGAACAACATTCTCGCCTTCTATATTCATCATCATCATTTTCGTAATTAAGAAGTACTATCTATGTTGTGTCTGGAATAGAGTAATCGACTCGATCGATGAAAGGCAACAAAATATTTAGTGGAGTACACCATCGGATATCTGGGTGTCTTTGAGTCGATGGATCGACCGATCAATGAACCATTCGAACCGATCGATCACATATTCAAGACATTGATTATTCAATCAATCAATCATTCAGATCGAGCTTTCGTCCGTCAGGCGACCCACCTGCCTGTCTTCGATTGGATCAGGCGGCCATACCGCGGGGCTCGAGCCGACTCTACAGGCATGCTTCTTTCACTGAATTTCGCTCGTGCCAAACCGCTAACGGATCGATAGCACTCGATTGATGGCGACAAAGAGCGCGAGTAAGCGGCGGCTCCCTCCCCCTGGATTAGATATGAAGTCTTCGTCGTATAAACACGCCGTCAGTTCCTCCTTCCACTCATTCATGCCCGTAGCGAAAAATGTTCATTAATCGATCGATCACCGTATATCAGTCAAGACAATGAGTTCTGGCATCAGGACCATCAGCAACATGGGGAACAACGAGAAGAGAAAACATTCCGCTCGTCGGCAAGCGATCGAAATTCGAAAGTCTCCACGTCGGATTTGAGACATCGAGGAGAATCGAGAAAACATTTCACATTCATTTCACTTCGTGAATCTGCCCGAGTAGTCGGGCATCAGCCGTACGTTCGTCGTCGGATAAGCAATCATTCAATTGATCGATTAGAAATTCCATCAATCAGACATTTTTCGCTCGCTTCGATTTTGGCTCACTACTGTCCGTGCAACGATCACGAAAAGCCGCGCGTCGACGAGCTGCAGCCGCTGTTTGCAGTGGCGCTCGAAATCGCTGATCTCGTTGATTCTGTACATGCTGTTCGATTTCATCGAATCGGTTTTCTGAGGATTCATCTGCGGGCCGCGAGGAGCTATCCGCTCCTCGGGGGTATGTCGACGCCGCTGATTCTGCGACCTCGCGCGCTGTTCCTCCCCCGAACGATGAACAACGAGATGAAACTGGAGATGATGATCGAACGCGAGATACTGCGGCGTAGCAACACGGAGAAGAGGCATCGCAACAACAGCGACGGCGGCGGCGGCGACGGCAGCAGCCATCAGGGCTATCGTATATCATAGTGAATGAAGTACAAGAACAAGAGATAGTACAAGGAGTAGTACACGTGGGTTCAGTCGTCTTAGTAATTGTGGTTGTATCAGCATAAGTAGTGGTAGATCCGTCTGTGGACATCGATTCGTCGGGAGTTCCGGTAGCAGCAGTAAGAGTGGCATCAGAAGTAGTAGCATTAGTAGTAGTGATATCCTTCGCTATTGAGATAGAAAAAGACGACGAACAACGAGCTAGTGCCGAATCGGAGACTTGACTGCCTAATCCGCGCCGTCGCGCTTCGCTGAAGCGAATCACTGAAGACGATCTGCAACCACTTGCAGCGTTCTGTTTAAGGGGAGAAACTCCTCCTCCTCCCGATACAGTAGGATCAAAGCCGCAGCAGCTAGAGTGGCTCGGGTCTCCTGGCTCGGGGGACTTGAGTGAAATTGTTGCAGCGGCTTCAGCGGCGGCGGCAGCAGCAAGAGTATCACCAGCAATAGTGACGGCGGCAGCGGCAGCAGTATCCGGATAAGAAGATGAAGAATCATCACACGAATAATGAGAATTGCAAAAGAGCGCTGTTGATGAGCCAGAGACCACCGGAGTGGATATTCTGTTGGTCAGTTTATCACCATCAAGTTCACCATAATAATTGTCATCATAATCACTCTCGCTAGTAGACGTTCCAAGACAGACTCTGCGTCCATGGTGTCTATGCGTGACCGACTTCGCAGAGCTGTCTCCTGCCGTCCCGACGGTCCGGTCGCTCTTGATTGTGTTTGTGGACGCCGCAATTGCTGTCAGAGAAGTATTGGATGTCGGTTCACTCAAGTTGGTTTGGATCGGTGACTGATCATGGGGATCATGCTCACTAGACAAGCAGCTCAAAGGACTCCTCGATGATATAAGGATGGAGGATCCTGAGCTCGGTAACGAGCTGCTAGTGCTCGATGTCGAGCACGCTCGCTTTCTGCCCCCCCTAGAATCCTGTTGCGGTCCTTTCGACACTTGTTGTTGCTGGTGTGATTGATGGAGTCGCTGAATTGGTAGTTCTTGCTGGTCTCGTCGTCGTTTTTGTTGGTGTTGTTGTTGTTGAATCGTTAGTTGTGACTGTTGATTTCCTTGATGCAGTTGTCGCTGTTCTAGACGTTGTTGGGAAAGTACTTCTGAATGTTGATATATTTGTTGTTGTTGACGGCCAGGATGCCCCTCCCAATTCTAATCAGTGTGGGCTTGCAAATTCATCGACCGGTGCGTATGCACGTTCTGCCATTTGTTGTCCTTTTTGACCCAGATTCGAGTTTCTTCGGTTTGCCTGCTTCTCGCTTGTCCTGTACGACTATCGACGTACTGAGTCAACCTGAAAAAGTGATCGCTCCCGTTAGGGTCTCGGTCGGAAACTCTGAGCGACCGGGAATCAGATTCAATGACGTTATCAGCACGGAACTTGATGCATGATCTTCTGGAGTTCAGCAGCTTCGGGACGATTGGCGCGATTCCCTTCTCCGAGACAGCGCACTCCTGAACTAATCCAGATATCTCACCTGATGTAAGCAATACAGGCAGCATCGTCTCCCATCATATGGACTGTGGGATTCAGAATTGTTGTATTGAAGCCACTTTTGGTCTGCTTCGCGGCAACTTCGAAGTAGAATTTGTGAAACTCCATCCCCTCGATGAGGTTTCCCATCGCTTCCGGGGCGAAAGCCGTCATGTGGGCGTCGCACAGTTTCCTGAGCAATGGAAGCGTCCGCAGTCAAAAAGATGCGAAAGCGATGCTCTCGAGGAGAGGCGCTCATTAAGCATTCGAAGTAGTCGAGAGACGGAATTTCATTGGCGGACAGATTCTATACGAAGTCGTGCTCCCACTCACGTGTAAGTTTCGAAGTCGCTCGAACTGATTGCATCTATGAGTTGCTCAGTGAGTTTGACCACTTCTTGCTTGCGCGCTGGAGAAAGGGCAGGTTAGCGACGGAGTTGGCGATTTCGAACGTAATCGGGCGGGGAAGGCTCGAATTTCATCAGAATCGATTCCTACGGACTGGATTCCTGCCAAAAGCTGAACAACAAGAGCCGGCGAACGGAAAAAGCGAAACTGAAGCGGGTCAGGGAGTATCAGACTCGGTGGGTGGGGGCATTTGATGGAGTACGGAGTTTAATGTTCAGGGAAAGGTTTATGAGCAGCGGAAATGGGCTGTTGAGGTTGTGGTCCTATGCAATTATAGTAATTTGCTGTCGTTTGTTCCCGTACATACATCAGCATTCGTGTTCCTCGATTTGAGACAGACCATTAGTATTTCTATCGAAGGCATGGTGGTGAGAGTATTGAGGCCAAGCGCATCCGCTTAGGAGTGTGCATGGTGAACGAACAAATGAGCGGTTTCGCGTATGATTTTCATTGGTATTTCCCGCAACGGGCCGATTCCTGATTCGGATGTCCGACCGGGATGGAACCGCGGAGGGATCGAGGGTGGCAAAAGATCGTTGGGCGATTCATTTTCGGAGTGGGTAACATTTTCGCAGGGGGGAGCTTTTTGGCGCGTGAACCTCGTAAACTGGGACGAAGGATTCGGCGTCCCGACAGAGGTTTCGATAGACGTCGGAAGCATGACACGGTTGATAATATCGTTAGTAGGAACCCTTCATACGGGGAAGGATAGCAAGCATGCCGGCCAAACCGACTCAGACGCCGACTTGAGCCGATGCAGTCGAATTCTCGATACACGACACAAATACGATCACATAAACTAAACACAACACGCTACCAGGCGCGCGCAACAAGAGCAGTTCCGGTGACCACGTCCCCGAGAGATGAGGAGGAGCGAGAATAGCAAGTGAGAGAGGATTCCATGTCAAACAGATTCGATTGCGTGGCAGGACAAGGCTGGCGTTTGTAGCACATGTTGTAAGAGCAGTAGCAGCAACAGTCTCGGCAGTTTCAACTTGGGCGATCACCGCGCTGACAAGCGATCGGGCGACCCTCAAACGAGTTGCCTCGCCATTGCTGTCAACGCAGAACTCGAGAATCGCATTCGGGACCTTCGCTGACTTCTCGCATCAGCAATGGAAGCGGCGACATCATCATCAACAACAAATTCATTTAGCAAAGAGTCAGCAGCCATTCATGTGGACGGAACTGCAGTACTTACGGTCTACGACTGCTGGAGAACCCATAGAGCTCGTACCAACTCCTCCGTTGCGGATCACGGCGCCTGGTGTGAGGAAACACGAAATATACTTGATGATTTTAGACTTCTAATTAGGGCGTCTCTCAAAACGTCTGGCAGATCGCTCTAGGCTTCAGAGTCCTTCTCCTGATCTCGCTGATCAATCGACAGGTAGCGAACGACAGGCATATCGGACTGCTTTGAAAACCTTCCGTCGCTCCTGGTGCATTTCGGTCAGCTCAGTACCAGCAGCAGCCCCAGCAGCAGAAGCAGTAAAAACGTCTTTGCAAGCTTTCGGTGCCTCGGCGAAGCGACTGTCTCATCAGGATATGGCGCGGCATACCTCCAGTGAGCTACGGCTGCTATCGCCCCTGGGACGGGGGCTTTTGTTCGGTCGACCGCTCAGAGTCAGTCTTGCTCATATAGATTCCAAGTTGACCGACCATTCTTGTCCAATCCAAGCGACGACGCTTGACGGGTCGGAGAGGAAATGCAACAGCAGAAACAACGGCAGCTGCAGCAGTAGCGGTGGCGGCGCGGCGACAGAGGCCGAAGCACTAGCGAAAGCCACGACCCCACGGCAGCGGAAAATATGCAAGCAGCAACAAGTGCTCCCGGATAGTTTGAGAGTCCCGATCAGGAAAGGAAGCCATACTCGAATCGTCGACAGAGGCGACGGAGGATTAAAATCGAGTAGATTGAAACATGCAAGCGTCAGAGACGAGTAGTTCAATTATAATCCCTGGAGCAAAGTTCTGAGGAACGAATGTTCCGATTAGGCAACCCTGATTGAAACAGACGGGACTCAATCGCGGATTCCAATCGGTACAGCAGAGAAGGACTCATCGAACATGCTCGATCCTCAGGAAATCGAATTTCGAAACTTTGAAAGAGGGGCCTTGTTCTCTGCAACGAAGATAAGACGACCGACAGTAAAATCTGAGAGTGCAGGATTTTCCTCCCTTTGGAAAATAAGACAGCGGAACTCATAAGAACTGTGTTCGTACATAGAATCCCCTGGATTCGATGCAGCATCTACATTTCCCCGGGAGTATGGACCGGAGTCTCGCTTCCGGTCTCCCGGTGAACTTGCTCAAGGTGCATGGGTGGCCCTCAGTCAGCACTGACGTTCCGTCCCTATGGGCTGCGTTGGATGGAAAGCAAGTCTATGCCGGTCTCAGGCCGTCGGGTTCCCGGTTCCGCAGAGTACTCTCTCTTGGCAGCCGCAGAGTAATGCTCTACGATGATGCACTGTGGGCATCCGAGGACAGCGCGGTGATTGACTTGGTTATTCCAAGAATACAGGCACGAACTACAGGCCGCAACCTCAAGTGGATGGCTGAGCCGCCATGCTTGAGCCGGAGACACGTCATGACAACCTTCTCCATCACTATTTGCTCGAGTCGACGGGAGAGCGCCATGAAACAAGCACGGCTCCGGCGAATCAGATGCGATTATCAGAAGCTCTACCGGTGTGTTCGTTTGTCATCATCGCTCGCAGCAACCATTGCAGATCGAGAGCGACGACGATCTCGATAAGGATTGCCGAATGCCATACGTATCATGAGCGATGTACTTTTACTTAGAACTTTCTGAGCAGAAAGTCATACACCGAGCTCTGTCTGAATGCTATCGTACCTTGCGGATCGCACTGGATCACAGTTTTGCTTCGTTCTGGACCGCTGTGTGCGGATCCATGGCTGGTGACGTCTGAAATGGTTCTTGACTGAATTCGTGGTTGCAAGGGTTTAGAGCTGTCCTGAATCATCGACTCCAATAACACAGCACGCAAAAGACGGCCAACGTTCCCGTCAGGGTCCTTCTCTCATAGAGCATCCAGCCAACATCACACTGGCGGTGTCCTGCATCAGGAGACTAGCAGCATCGCGAGGACGCTCCTCCAAAAAGCGGAGAGGTAAGTCACCAGTTCTCAAAAAAAACGGTTTCAAAATTTCCCTCTGGATGGATATCGCATTCAACAGGCGGAAAAGCCGGGTAGCGTTTGCGCGTCTGAATAAGGCAGGATCCCGGGGTAAAATACATATCTCTCCTACAATGACACTGAGAACAAAAACTACATACGATGTCAGCTGGCGGATAAAATGTTCAAAAGCACGCCATCATTCTAACGCACTCATGGGATATTGCTCTCGGTATACAGAGGACGTGAGGAAAATGGAGCGAAACGAACCGTTTCCCCTTTACTAAAAACATATCCTCCACGAACAGCACACTCCACAGCACGAAAAGAAAACAGTTCGAATTGGAATGCCGGGTGAAGTGACTGATTCGACAACCATTCGGAGTGGGAGATCTTGGTGAAGGTTTTTCGAGTCGTAGGCATTCCTTTCGGGGGACTCGATGGACGGAAAAATATTCGGGGGGAAGAACTCCCATCTGAGACAAGGAACGAATGTCGACACTATGCTCGGGTCTGAGCATGTCGGAACCGCCGATCCATAGGAATCTGTACGGAAAGAGGACACAACCAAGCTATGATCGCCAGTTCGTCCCGAACGTCATCTATCTGCGATTCAATCAATGCATCAAATCGATAACACTATCATTCGATCGGCCATCAATCATAATAAAACTTTGCCGGTATGGAACAATCGACAAATTGAAAAAATATGTGTCACATGCATCATGTCCGTAACGTCTCCAAGGCAAGAGACTTTATGGACAGTGTAGATCGATTTTAGATGATAAGACAATCGATAAACTCCATAAGCGAAACAGTAATATAGGTGTTGTCATCATCGACGATCCCAGGACTAATGTATCATCAGCATTATCACAAAGATGATGATAACAATTGAGGAGAAAATATGATCCGGGTTCATGAGTATTGTAATATGCTGCGAGCTGCCCTACGGTTGTCCTCTTAGGATTGACTCGGCATCCTCGCGTAGCAGCAGTGAGAGAGGCTTCAGCAGCGGATTTTTCAGTGACGAAATATAGAACAAGCGATGATCCAGCATAGTGAAATTCCTGATTCGGATCTCGAGTTTCATCCAAGCATTTCTCCGGCCTGCTTGTTCTTTACCTCACAACCTGCAGGCGAACGGTCGGAGATCGCTAGTCGCAGCCATGGAGGTGCGATTCTCAAGGTGAGAAGCGGAGCGATGCGCGATCACGACTTCCTCCGCCTCGCGGCAACGAAAACAATTTTCTACGCGCGCAAATATTATTCAGCAAAGTCATTGCGACTCCATATTATCAGTCCATGCTCTCCCGAGAACGCCGATCGTTGATCTTTTTTTAGGTGACGGACCTTATAATGCGTGTCACTACCCAAACGAAGTTCTGTTTCCAGAATAGGCGACAGTGATGTCGAGTCGACATGGTCTTGGAGGCTGGAGGTGTCTGTACGGAATCAGCATGATGCGGTTGTGACTCAAAACGGGATGATGATACCATTGGATCGAGAGCGGGCCAATGAATGAGAAGTTGCCAAGCTCAGGGCTCGTCCTATCGGGGACGCTAACTGTCGGAGGCTCAGAATTCGTCCGGAGCTTAGCTTCGTCAAAGCTTCGAGAATCAGAAAGATGGTCTTCCAGAACGTTTCCGGGAAAACGAGCCCCGTGGTCTCGGCGTCAGTTCGACCCCCGAATTCACGGTCCCTTCCCAAGCGACAAGGGAGCGGGACGGCTCCAGCATAGAACCTCTGGCAGGCGACGCGTCGATCGAAACGCAATGACGCATCCAGAGAGGAGACTCCTCCACCAATGATGGTGGCATCTCCCTTCGTTTACCCGCGAGAAGATCGCCCGTCTTCCCAAAGACATCGTCGACTTCTCCCGAGGCTATCCGCCACTGCTTCAGAGCGAAAGTCCGCCACGAAGAATTCCGACAAATGGAGAGTCTATGGTGTGGTTCGCTAGGCAAGTGGAGTCAGAGCCCCGAGTTTGTTTTCTTCTGTTCACGCGCGACGGGAAGAAAAATTTTGTCATTCTGGAACATTCTGATCGTTGTCGCGATCATCGTGATCCTCTTTGGGTCATGAGATGGTCAAATCGATCCGACGAAGCTCAGCAGAAAAACAGGGCCAAGCAAATATGTGCTTCGATAGAGAAGTTTTCAGGCTGAGTGTTCGTTCGACCATGTGTCCGAAATCCGCGGATTGCGCTTTAGTATTTCGCCATAGCCGATAGTTTAGAGATATCATATGAGGAACAAGGTGATGCAGAAATTAGATGAGGCGAGATACCGATTTTTCACGATTCGTCTGCTGGGAGTTTCGCTATCGGAAAACTTGAGGATATCAAAAACGATTTGTCACACGGCAGGAGCGGAAGCATGTTAGCACGCAGAGAATGCATCAAAATGGTAAGCTCTATCGTTTCTCGCGTGGGCGCGGAGAGTCAAGGAGTTTTGTTCGCTCAGAATGGATTTCGGCGCTCCGCCTATGAGGAGTATGGGGATTATCGAAAGCGAGAAAGACAGGAGACCACTTCATGAGTCAATCAGTCCAATTGTTAGTATGTTGGGGTTCTGACCGGTCGATACGACTGAGCGATTGTGGATCAATTGCAAGAACAACATCAACGACAGCAACAACAACAGTAATCAAAGGCAGACTAGAGAAAGGACAGAAGAGCAAGCTTAAATGAGGAGGTGAAAAGAGGCGGACTCCATTCATAATACTCCATAATCATAATCATTCATGTTGAGAGATGACCGTTATAGTAATACCTTTGACGCATTCAGAGTCTTCTTCAATGGTGGTGCTAGCGGAGTCTGTCGACTCTTTCACCTGGCTCCCTTTTTTCGTGATTATGCTTCGACCTAAAATGATGCAGGCGCAATATTGATTCAAAGACTCAATAGGATTCTGGTTTCCAGGTAAGTTTTCCGATACATTAGCTGAAGCCCTCCTCGGCTGAAGTGAGATCCTTAGGGAACCTCATGGAGTCCGTCCAGAGAACATTGATAGGGGACCGTTGACTGTGTACGTGTCAGTAAGCGCGAATCGGATACATGGATCTGTTATGTCACCGAAGATCGGCCTTGGCCGAAAAATAGGCCTCTTTGTCCCCGCAGGAACAAGGGGGCCGATGAGATCACGAACTTCTCGCGAACAAGGACAAAAGTCGAGCTGACTTGCACTAGTCAGTTCGACTTTCGGGGATCCACAGCCCCATCGGTGACTTCGATTTCGACCGCACGCAGGCTGCGTTCACGGGCTCAATACCCCCCGATTATTCGCTTTCTGAATCGTCTCTTCATGTGTCGTTGTGATCCGTGACGGATATTTAGTCCTTTGATTTAGATACGATCGCGGGTGTTTCAGATTTTTTCCTCCTCCATCACAGTACAGTTGTGCATTTAGAGATCACTACAGATATCTAGACATATCTATTGGGAACACTAGACATTGAACACATGTCACAAACGGACGAATCACCGGACGGTGGACCTAGGAATGAATCGAAGCGAAGCTGAGCGGCGAGCTCAGTTCTCTTCTCCGAATCAATCTGAAAACGTGTCCCAAGTGTAGATTGACACCGAGGAAAATATACGAGAGGGAATGAGGGTTTTAGTTTCTGTAGAAGTGCGAAAGTTTGGGCGACACAGCAATCGATCGGGTCGACAGAGGCCGTGAGTGGATGACCTTGACCGCAGATTGGGGGCGTGCTACTATCGATATGGATACTGGAAACTAAATGCATACGTACAGAGAATACTGAGAGGATATTCTGAACGTCAGAAGCGAGGAACATAGTCATAGAGTGTAGGACAGTGAGAGGAAACGATGGCTCCAGGAAATTCTGACCAGAGAGCGAGAAATCGAAAACACTTGAGGTTGAGAGAGAGGGATGCGATCGACTCCGATCGCGCGATTCGATGAGACAGCTGGAGTAAGGCTGCAGCGCCGGCACGCCACGCGTCACTGAGGAACTCTCGTCGAGCCGCCTCGTACTTTGGGGTCTTTCTTCAAAGCTCCCTCCCACTAGAACCCTCCTCCTCTACTCTCGCACTATCGGGGCAAATCTGTACGAAATCGATAAGAACTGTCCGAAGGTTTTTTGTGCACAGATCTCTCCTTTCAGTTTTCGAATCAATTTACGGAGGTCGATCCGAATTCGCGACCAGAGCTTTGAGTATGAATCTGTGACGAGAATCGAAGAGGTCGTAGATCGCGCAATTCGCCATCTGAGGTGTAATCGATATATTTCCGTGGGTGAAGGAAGAGGAAGTAGCCTCGGGATCGACTGTTGCCGAGAGCTAGAGGGATGAACCGACGGGGGAAGAAGATAAGTCTCGAATAATCGGCAGTTTGGGAGCCGCGAGCACTCACTCGAAAAGTTCCTCGTGGCAAGCATCGTGGTGAGTATTGCCCCTTTGAGCTTTCTTCTGGCGTTGAATTTCCTCAAGCACTCGACGGTCTCTTGTCGGTGGAGGGTGGACGCCACGCGCTCCCTCTGGCAGATCCAGGGGTGCTTCAGTGCCTCGGCGGCCGTGATCCTTTTCGCGGGGTTGACCGTGAGCATCAGGTTAATAAGGTTCTTGGCCTCGGGCGTCACCGTGTCCCATTCCGGTGATGGGTAGTCGTAGGCACCCGCCTAAAAACAACAATAACAGGTAGAATGAAGCATCTTCCAACGAGTCGCGTGACGCAGAGTTTACGTCGGAAATTAAAATTCGCGTCGACGAAGCCACCAGCGACTACAGCGGCAGCGGCTGCCATTGAGGTCGTCGTTCCCGTCGACGACGATCCTTCGGCTGACTCTAGCTACGCTACAAGTATCAATACAAAATACTGCGCAACGGCACGACACGGCATTCCTATGGTCACGCCATTGGATGCAAACTGCACTCTGTCGTGGCCTGACGGCGGTGGCTGCAGCAGAACCACCGCCAGCATTCAGCCACCGGTCCGCGACCGACGGCGCACCAGTAAATAAATGCGGGCGTGCAAAGGGGTGGGATGCCGTACGCAGCACGCTTTCTTTTGGTCGAGTCCATCATGAAAGCACTCATATTCGCGAGCAGACTAATATCATTCGCCTCAACTGACTTTGTGATCTATAACTCACCTTGATCTGGGCATACAGTCGGTGTTGGTCTTCGTCCCAGAAGGGCGGGTAACCGACCAACAGAATGTACAAAATCACTCCGCAAGCCCAAATATCTACAGGCTTCCCGTACGGATCTTTCTTCAAAACTTCCGGTGAAAGGTAGCCCGGTGTGCCGGCAAAGCCGTACCAGGCCTGCTGCTCACCCTGCACTTCGATGGCAAGACCAAAGTCAGCAAGTTTCACAGCAGCTCCCTTGGCTGGAAATCGCAAAAATTGCGGTCAGATCCAGTTGAGGTTCGTCATCGGAGAGGATCGACGGGCGGCCCTCCGAATCATTGTGCCGTAAGAAAAGATCACCCTTGTCTTCGTATTCACGAGCAGTCCGATCTTTAGCTTAAGTGTTCGACTGCTTCGGGATCAGGAGGGGCAGAGATGATTAGAGCCTTCCTGAGTGCATGAAGCAAGGGCGACGAAGATGAGCCGAGAGAGTTCAGGATGGTCTGCGTCAAGCGCTTGAGAAGTTCGATCGAATTTATCGTTTGATTCAATTTAGAGTAGACGTCGAGAGACGTAGACTCGTTCAAAAAACACCCACAAGGGAACGCGAGGAGTTCGCTATGTTTGTCTACAAGCGTACTTGAACATTTCACAAGCCCCTCGTGTTGTCTACCGGGACCGTACTTGAAGAGGGAGAAAACGAGAAGGGGCAAATTCAGCAGTCGAACAGCTTGAAGACAAAGTCGGATAAGGCTAGGACGGGACGCTTTTGAAGGATGAAGACGAATACGTTTCAATCCACCGTCGCTGATCCGAGAAAATCTCTTCTTCGCCGCCTATCCTTCCCTTGTTTCCTCGCTGGAGGCGGGGACATTGTGTCAGGGGTATACGCTAAGCAATGACTTGATCCCCCGACGCTGTTGTGCCTTGAGCTCACCTTTGCTGGCAAGAAGGAGATTTTCTGGTTTAAGATCTCTGTGGACGACGTTATTCTGGTGGCAATGGTTGACACTTTCCAGGATCTGCTGAATGCAGTGGGAAGCATCGGCCTCGCTGTAGTACTCTCGTGCCACTATGTCTTCAAATAGTTCTCCTCCGGTCACCAGGTCGAAAATCAGGTAATGGTACCTGGAGGGGAAAATGAGCCATCAGGGGAGCATGATAATCTATGCCACCTTTCTCCGGAACTCCAGACCCAACCAGTTAGTGAGCCATAGGCTGAAGGAGAGCGTTTTTGCCAGCCGACGGTCCTGACAGTTGATGCAGGGGTCGGGCGATCTGAATCGATTCCAGATTCACTCTTCACGCGTCAACTTCAGTGAATGTTCAACTGACGGAAAAACCGATGACTTCTTTCTCTTCAGGGAGCAAACGCTTGCCGTGCTCCTCTCGGGGCGGCATTTGTCAGCCGATTCCCGACTACGAACCTTTCCCGGAGGATGCGACAATAAGGGTGGCGAAGAGAGAAAACCGAGTCCTCTATCACCTTCATATCTACTGACTACCGATCCTATCGGCTCGTGAGTATTCCTGCAGCGGTGCTCGTTGAGGGAAACGAGGCGGCTCCGGATTCCAGACGCAGGAGCGTTTGAGACTTACCCTTCTTCCTGTATGCTGTCATGTAATCTGACAATGTTTGGATGGTTTAACTTCCGGCATATTCGAGCTTCGCGCTCAAGCTTCTGGAAATCTCGGGCCGAGAGTTTCTTGGTATTGATGATTTTCGCTGCAAACTCCAGTCCACTGGACTTCTGTACGCATCGTCTCACTATGGAAAACGCTCCCCTGAAAAGGAATACATGGAGAGAAGTTAGAAAATGTCAAGAACTCCGATGCAGGAAACTGGGCTCTCTCGACCCTCGTGGAGTATTTTTCCGGGCTCCCGGAAAGATTTCCACGAGGTATTCTGGTGCGCTTCTCCCTCAGGGAGGCACGAGCCACGAAAGTTCGCCGTCGTCGTAGTTCGAGTGCGCCTGGGAGGTTTCAACTTTATTAATTCCTTCGATCTTCAGGTGAGCTGCGTGAGCTGACTTCGAAACTCGGGAAAACTCTAGAGGGTAAGGACAAACGAGAGGAAAAGATAGATAGACAGCTGACCGGTCAACGAGGCCGCTGATTAAAGTTTCAATATGGGTTCACTTTGCGCTCCCGCAGTATAAATACGTGAATCGGATTAATTAACGTCACCTCTTTGAGGTGCTGTGCAGCAGACAGCGACTTCGAGCGGTATTTTCCGATGCGAGGGCGTGGTTGGTGTCCGAGATCTCACTTTAACTCGATCGAAACTCATCTATGCCAATCTTCCTCCAATCCTTCTACGAGCCTATCATCGAGGTCTCCGAGCACGGGAGGAGATCTGAATCTCCAGCGGTTTAGGCTCTTTAGGTTTAGGCTCCCTCGCGAATTATCCGTCCCCTTTGTCGTCACCATGGACTGCCTCGCACGGACAGAGAGTTGTGCCATAATAATAAGATATTATTGATTTCTCTCCCTCGTCTTCTCGAGGAAAACGGGGGCACCGAGATGAATGCAGTCTTCGTTCCAGGATTTCGCTTCGTATTCATTCGTCTCTATGAAATCGTCGTTTGACCTGACAGCAAAGTAGTCGCTACCGTCCTTGTCGTCTGATTGAATCCGTGCTCCACCTCTGGCACCGATGCGGAAAAATGAACACTGCCGCTGCTCGGTGCCGCTCGTTTCCGCGACATTATAACTGACCCTGACCTCTGCCAGTGTAACTCGGTAAACAATTCCGCGTAACACGGATAACTTTGGTGACGTCTTTTCTTCCCGCGCAACACTTATCCGAGCTGCGCTTGTTCTCTGCATCCTGATTCGACTCAATGCCATATTGTGCTTGCGGGATTGTTGCCGCTCAGTAGCCGTCGTCGACGTTCTCTACGTCGTCGGCCGCTTCGGGCAGCGGTGGCAGCTATGAGACTGGCGGTTCAGGTCAGCGATAGGCCACTGTCGGCGGCTCGGCGGTTGTTTATTTACCAGCGGGAGCAGTACTACTTCTGCTGCATACCCACCGCTGGTCGGTCGGTCGGTCGGTCAGTCGGTCATCCGGTCCCTCAGACTCCACTCGGTCGTCTCCACGAAGCAGACCAATTCCCAGAGCACGACGAGAACGAGAGGGCTTGTCCAAATTCCTCTAATCAGGTCGTCGGCCCAAGGAAGTTTGAGGAAGGCTCTACAATAACCTCCATGGTCGCGTACCGAGCAGATGAGATTGTCCTCCGTCCGAGGGACGGCGATCACGTTACAGGACTCTACCCAGCCAGTTTTCAGAGCACGGCCCATAACCTACTTGAGCTCCTCCTTGGACGCATTTTCCTTTTGAATCTCAATCTCGGTGGAGGTCGTCTCCTCGTGAATATTTTTGCGGAGCCCGAACTCTGACGCGCGACATTCTAATGCTGTGATCGGGAAAGTTCGCAGAGTCGTCCATACACGATTGGTTCCCATCCTACGGGCGAACGGAAGCTCCGTCTGGAATTCGAACTCCGAAAACAGCGAAAATGTTCGAGCCCTGCGGAAGGTACCAGCGGTGGCAGCTGCCGCAGCAGCAGCGGCCGCCACCGCCATATGAAGTGAGAGAAAGGGTGAATAGACACCGTCAATATGACAGCGCAAATCCAAGAGAGTAAGAGTCGCGAAGCGAGAGACAATGCGCAAGTCGCGGGGGAAAGAGAGAGAAGACAAGAGGGGGCTTCTGGTGGACACACACGAAGACGGCGTGATGAGCGAGCGGGTGAACGGCGAACGACCATCACGCTAGGACAGCCTTCGACTCGGCCACCTGTTGACGTTTGTACGCTTGCGCTGCGGAATTTCATCAGAGCGAGAGAAAGAGTGTGTACGAAAGAACATGAGTGGAGCCACGGACACCGGAGAGCAGCAGATGGCCGACATCGGCTCCTGCTTCATTCCCCGCCGCTCCGTACCCTGCTGCAGCTTCTTCTGTTGTTATCGGCACACCATTAACACCGACCGAGAGCTCCACGAGTGACGGAGAGCTTGTGATGTGTCTGTCCACTCCAATTCGTCTCCGAGGAAGAACTGATAAACTAATTAAAATATCTCGCTCGGTTGGCGGCGTTCCTCAGCTGATCCTGTTCCAAGACGCTTTCGCGACTCACAAAACGGACTTTCCGCTCCGAAAGTGCTCAGCCCTTCGCTGGCTGGGATCAGAAGGGTGTAGGTAATGGGCGGAGAGTTTGTTTATTCGAAACTCCGGTGGATCATTCGTCGTGCTCGATGCTGAGTTGGATCTTCAACTAGTCGACTCACAAACGATGCGTTGAATTTAATCTAGCTAGCGGCCGAGAAATCGGTCTTCCGAATACTTTACCTCCGAATAGCGATTGTAAACGTGACCCGGAAGGTCAGGATCTGTACGCGAGCCTCCCGAACGCAATCGGAGGTCTGGCTTCGTTTCCGAGAGCCCGATGAATAATCTCTTTTTCATGATGATTTTCCAGCGTATGGATTCGAGACATTGATCCTGAACGAGAAAGTCTAATTGCTACTCGCTGCATTGGAGGTATCGATGGCGCCTCGGAAGAAATATCTACCCGCCGGAAATTGATCGCCGCTAGCTCTTCCTTGAATCTAAGCCGCTACGATCCTACGAGATGGGATCTTCCGCGAAACCGTGAGGGGTTGAGCTCAGAAATTTCGGCTGCCAGTCGTTCATCTACTCGCCGAACCGGCTGACAACGTGTCTCCGAGAATCCTTAGGTGCGCGTAGAGGTAGAGGGAGACTCGAATTCGGGGAACCGGCTGTTCGGCGTAAACTGACGTGAAATCTCCCAGGCCATGAATATACTCATGGAACTATATCCGTTCACTCAAAACTCGAGTGATTCGTCGCAACACTTGTTTGTGGTGGTGCCGACTGGTGTGTATTCGGAGTTCCGGTCTGGAACGGCTGCGTCGGGAAGCGGTGCCGTATAATACGCATGGCCCATTGCTCTAATGGCCGTTCAGCGCAGTCCTGCTGCAGACGTCACCTACATCGTTTGCCGGCGCGGCGTGAAATGCCTCGCGTTCTCCTCCTGTCTCCGTCCATGAGCTATTTGCACGCCAACGTGCGCGTCGAGGCACTTTCGATGGCTTTGCAGCCGCAGTTATGATGCATGAGCCTCGGTAAATGAATTCCTAGTTTCAATGATATTTGCTCGTATCACGCTGGGACAGGGGGACAGCCTCGCGAGCCATCGTGTGCAGCAGGGAAAAGGTCCGAAAACTTTTTCATCGGAAATCGGCGGGAGACTTCAAGGACTGAAACTTCTGTTCGCGGATTATGGCAACGATCACGCCCGCTCCTCGTGGCGTTGCCGCGCCTTACAAGGAACGGCGCGTAGCGGGCACGGACAGTCGAGCGCAGCGAGTGAAAGCAGCCTGTTCCATGAGCTCGATCACTAGATCACTAATCACCGGTCACCACCTGACTGGATTCCAGGTCGGCTACCTAATCGCAAATCGAGTTTTAACATTGGAAGTGCTTTACAGTGAGCTTCCAATGGGCGCGAGGTCAAAAAGACTCCATGAAGCAAAAAATGTGATTCTCACAATTATATTCCCCGAAAAGATGCTCTCAGGAGGGACTTCTTTCCATTCGGACCTTAGCGAACGAGTCTACGTACGGGAGGTCTGGAGCGACGCAGTTTATTTTATCTGAGCGGATCTTCACGACCATCACTGGAACGTGCGCAGCATTCCATTCCTCGCACACGCTGACCTCGGACGAAGTCCGTGTGGACGAAAGCGCGTACGAAAACGCCTAGAAGTTTTCATTCTCCCCGTTTCCGGGACCCAAATCGATAACAATGCTGGCCACGGGAGAGGACCTCGATATCCGTCCGAAGGCGCCCGTCGCGTCGACGAGCTCGACGACTTACGATCGGTCGCGGGAAATTTCTGTGAGATCAGAGAAAATTCGAGAGCCCGATGACGATTTCGCCCGGTTGATAATTAATCACTCGCTCGATTCTTGGGCGTTGCGATGAGCTACGAACAGATACTGCTATCGATCGAACACCCACGCCAGACCCTCTCCACATGGAATTTGTCAATCTCAATTAAGTCGCTCCGACTGGTCGCTCGGAAGAGCACAACACAAATTATTCGCTCGGTTTTCTTCTGGGGACGACCGAGAGGCTGCCCGGGAATCGGCAACGAGTAGAATAGAATGATGTCAGCTGGCAGCGACGTCTTCACGGCCAGTAAGTGTCAACATCGAGAAAAAAGGCGGGGGAGGAGGGTAGATCGGAAAAAACCTCGTTGCTTCTCCGGAGCTCCGTCCCTACGGAGCGAATCTACCGTTGATTGATTTTCTCAAGCCCCGCTCGAGAGGATACGAATCCGTGTAGGTATATGGCCCGTAGCGAGGCCTCCGGCCCGAGCTCCTGGAGGTTCAGGGACTAAAAAAAAACTCCAGTGACTAGCGGCTGACGGAAGAGACATGAAACTTCAAACGCCACTCTCCCGGTGCAGGCGGAGACCCGAGCGAGCAGCAGTGAGTTCCGAGAATATTTGACTATGATCAAGCGGTGGGCGACGCAAATCCGGTGTCGGCGTAATCCGTCTGCTTCGCAGCAACTTCACCCCAATAGAGGTGTCCACAGTGGACGGGCGAAAGTGGCCACGCTCGATCGATTCCCCATGGGAATTTGGCTTGCTCTAGGGAATAGGAAGCCTGCAGGAGCCTCAAAGTCTCGTCCAACTTCACATCGATATATCCGTTGTTTTTTTCTCTGGAGGCGTTCCGAGGGTCGGAAAACCCCTTCAACGATCCGAGTTTTACTCTGTGTGTATTCAGCGGAACACAAGAATCGGCTATTGTCTCCAGACAATGATCACGGTGAAATTATTATCGACCGACACTACCGATCGTCCCCTTTCGAACGATTCTAAGAGGCCCACGAAGCGAAAATAGTTGGCTTCTGGGACTCGTTGTAACTCGAGATCTCGCCCGAGTTGCCGTTCCTGTCAGTCCGGTCTCGCTGGACGTTTGGTCGGAGAGTCGATCCGCAGACTGACCCATTCAATTCCAGAATTTCAAAGTCCACATCATACGTATATCCTCTGGGGAGAGGACAGAATGCGAAGAGACTCTAATGAATTCCAGCAAACGACTTCCGAAAGTGTTTCCTCGAGTGAGCATTGTCCGTCTCACGACGAACATATTGCGGGCATGGCCATTAAGTCGGCGGGTGCATCCTTGTCATGTAGAGCTTGTTACTGGGCAGACGCGCTAGCTGGCGAACTAAGTTGCGGGTTTTCTCCTCCGCTTGCGGGTAGTGGGCTGGCGCGCAAACACCGAGGGGGTAACCGTCTGATGCGAACTTTCATTATGGTAAGTACGGGCCCCGCTGCGTAAAGAAGCACCATAGACCTCGGCCAGAGGGGTGCTATTGTAAATAATCCACGACATGGCGTCGTAGCGCTGGCCACGGCCCAATGAGCCCGTGCAGTCATTCTAAAGGCAGGCTCGACTGCTGCTTATCGTGCAAGCCCGCCATTCAAGTATCCTCGGTGCTCTTGTCAGTCGGGGTGTTCCTCCGCTTGTTGGTTGGTTCCTCCTTTCGGTCTTCCGTCCGTTCGTTCGTTTGTTTGTCTGTTAGTCTGCGTGGCTGTATGCATGTATGTATATCTGTGAGTGTTTGTCTGCGTGCGGGTCCAGCGGCTAGTGCGGGCTCGCGTGAGTGGATGGATCGCGAAGCCGCTGGCTCCAATGCGTATTTCCCTCGGGGAGGGAATTCCGCGACATAGCTTCGTGAAAGATTCAGCCGACTTCTTGCAGTTCGCGATATTCCATCCGTCCATAAAAAAAATATCCGACCTCCCGAGACCTTACTCCACGACAAGCGTATCACGGCAGGAAAAACGCGACGTGAACAGCAAATCAGAGTCGAGATGAGTCTTTTTCCGCTGATCAACGAAAGTTACGACACGAGCTCTCATCAGATGCAGAGAATCCGAGACGACGAGCCATGATCCTGATACACGAGATCCCGGGTCTGGCTGAGATGCCATCGCGGGGATGATCTCCCGGAAGAGGTGATCCCATCCGTCCGAGCAGAGCTCATATTCTGATCGACCGCCTCCCGATTGTTAGAGCTCCTCGACGCGAATGGATGAGGGGAGGGGTCTCAATTCCTTTCCGGCACGCCGGAACGGCGGCGGTGCTCAACATGCATCCGAGGAATGCCCGCAATCGCTGCTCATTATCGTTTCTAGGAGAAGGTCCCGGTGAGAGTTCTGATTTGATAACTGCTCGATCTCCTCGTCCCCGTGCCAGCGACGACTCAAGGATTTTACGAGGGGACGAAGCTCCCAGCGCCATAAGGATCGGTGAAGGAGTTGATATCGGGGCCCTCTCGAGGGCAAATCGGTATTTGTGCCTCCACGGCCACGAGGCGATCGACTGTCGAGCAACAGGTCGCGCAAGGTGGCATAGGATGTTCTCGGGTTCCTCGAAGTCGTGAAATTCCTATGATGCATCTCTCTGCTCCTGGACCCTTGAGAGCAAGCATTATGGCGGAAAATTCCCGGAATTCGGCGCGGCTTTCCTCCTTCGCCTCCATCAATGACAAGTGGTCCGATTCCGGCCATTCCTGATGGGCGAATTAGAAAGTTCTAGAGACCATATCTTCCGCGAGCTCGAACTCTTAAAGACGGACTACATGAGCCCCCTGAGGGGGAGCAAGCAGGCTCCTTGACTTTCATCGGATCGAATCGTCCGATGCTCTTGTTTGAACCTCTACCGGGAAATACTCCTCAAAGTCTCTGAGGGGTCTCAACTCCGCTGCTCGAGAGAATCTCCCGTGGAAAATCGATACAGAGCCTAATGCAAGCAACTCAGGATCGGAGCTCGGGTCGCTCAGTGGGTCACGGTCATACGATTAGGATGCCCGGCCTGGATGGAATTTGTTCGAGCTTCGTCTTGATTTCCATTAGGCTTGTTCAGTCCTAAACGGTTCGTGAAGCGAGTGCTGATCACGATCTCGAGGAGTGAATCGACTGAACTGACTCGTGAGTCTCGCCACCGGGCTACAAGCCACTGACTGAGTGAGGGACGGTCTAATTCCACGGTGGGCCATCTGAATGCTCGCCGGCTCACTATTCTGAAGCAACGCCTGATGTTCTAGTCCTCCCTCAGAACACTGTAGGCTGGCTGGCTAGCCGGCCACGAGCCAGTTCACTAGCTAGCAAGCCAGCCAAGCTGCCCTCTTCAGCTCGCCTTCCTTTCTTTCGTCTGTTCCTACGACGCTGTTTTTGTCGGGGATCTTCTTTTTTCTATCAATATCCGATCATCTCCATGGGCCCCTATCAATACAGAACAATTCAGATGGAACTGAAATCATTCGGTGTCCGGGCATGCGCGGCCGGCAATCGTAGTTACGTCGGGTCTGCACACACGGTTTGGACTGAGCCGGTCAGTGAAGCAGCAAGAGCACACTGGACCAAACTCATCACATATGCAGCAGCAGAGCACAAAGTACTGCATATAGCGGCGTGCGGCCAAACGAGAACCACTAACGTCCTCTCTCGTGCCTTAGTTTCACGTCCATCAGCTGCCCAGCAGCGTTCACTAAATCCACCCGCGCCGCCGCCGCGCCGTCGTCGACCAACTCGATCCGCGAATAGCCACAATTCGGAGAACAACACTCATCGTCGACACTGACCTCTGAGGAGTGAAAAAAAATCAAATCAAAGTCCCCCTGCCTGACCGAATGGATGAGCGCGGTTGATCGCGCGAAAAGCAAACGATGCGAATCGAAAACATCCAGATCGGAAGGTCGGTGTGAACCACGACGATAAACTGCACAGACGCTATCCGCAAAACTGCATCCAGTGCGAAGTGATTCTGGTTCTCCGTCGGTCACCCGGCTCATCGTGGAGCAGCAAGAATGTCGACGCTATCCGTGACAGCCTTCGCGACGTTCACGCAACCTCTAACACGAGACGTGACACCGCAATGTTCACATAAAGTTATTATTGCTTCATACATGGAATAATTGAAATGAAGACCGGCAGAGCAATACTCACTTTCCAAGCTCTTCTTTGAGCTCGTAGTTATCACTGAAGCGAGTTGTGGGCGTAGGTGGCGCCGCCATCGCTGCTTTTTGTAGAACTCGTTTGATGTCGATGAATCCTTATCGTTTATTGCACGTAGAACGATTTGTGTGAAGTTCTGTTCCGCCGTGGCAGCACCACAACAACTATGGCAGTTGATCTGGGAGTTCAATCGATTAAGAATGCTGTAGAGCGGAGCTCGAGAGTTCACAAACAACGAGCAGACACGCATTCACGCGTGCGAGCGCGTGGTCACACACCGTCTTCAGGCAGTCCGAGTTCAGCCGCTTATGTGGTTATGGTCGTCGTCTACGACGTTGTCTTCAAGCCGAACTGTAACCGCTGCCACTGCAGCGATTGATCTCGTCGACCCTTAATATTGATGTTCCCTCAATAGCTGCTGTTGATTTACGTTTCACAACACTGCACGAATTGTTGAACCATGATCGTCTTGTTGTGGACAATCCACCCCAAGTTGCAGCGAAGCCTGCGAAGTCGAAGGATCAACGTTAATTATTTTCGAGCACAACCGTCAGAAGCTCTGGAGTGTGTAATGAGAGTGATGAGTGGCGAAGTCATCCAATCGATTCAAATAACGGCATCGCTGCCGCATCATATGAGTGACCGGAAAAAAAAACTGAACAATGACAGGCATCTGTAGAATGATCCCGTCTGTGCACTGTCTCTTCAGGGTTGACCCGGCGCTATTAGTGCCAGCTGTATTACCTTGGCAGCCGAGATCAGTAAACATTATACATTCTCAAGGAATATACAGTTCAAGATGACCGACTCGACGGTTGTGCTTCCGATCGATCGATCGATCCAAAACACACTGTTTGACTGCGTTTTACAGCACCCAGGATCGTCCTGGATCTTCTCCTCCCAATGTCGCGGCAGTAATCTCATAAGTGCCTTAAAAACTGACTGATAGCTCCTTAGTCAATCCGTATGCTCGATTCTTTTCGGTCCCAAGTCCGGCGGAATCGCGAGCTGATTGGGTACTCAGAAAACTCAGTGAGCTATTAAGCAAATTGAGTTTTCCCTAGCAGCCTCAAAATCAATGCGAGAATCACACATTCTCTATAGACGTTATAGTCGAATACCGAGAATAGCTCCGGACCTCGAGAACTGCGAAGTGTGCGGCGCTCCCCTAACTTCACGGCACCACTGATCGGGGACGGGAGAGATCGACTACACGATCGTCTGACAGCATGGTCCATCGAGAGGTTCCTCGGAATTCACATTAGGAAGTGACACGCGCGGAAAGCTCACTATTGGGCTATTGTTGATGATCAGAAGTCTGCTCGATTCGACAGCGTCCGACACGCACGCTCTCTCTCCGTCGACGCCACCGTCTCCCGCGACCTACCTCGTGGTGTTCCGGTGGCACATCCAGAGGCAGCCCACGAAGTGGTCTTTGTTCTCGTCGACGACCAGTAATCCGCAACGCTGGCACTAGCTCGCCAATTACGGGACGTGAACGAGAGAAAAGAACATTCTGCAAGTTCCGCAGTCGTCGTCTGTTCGCCTGCGCGAGTCCGTCTCCGCTCTCTTGTTGTGTTTATGATGCAAGTTTTCTCTTTCCTCTTACGCCGTTCTCACTTACGTCGCCGTCCCCGGCCTGATCGTATTGCCAGAGCTTCGATAATAATAATCGCGGCAGCATCTGGATCAAGCTTGCCGACAAAAGCCCGATGACGGCCGGCGACGACGACGCCGACTACGACATTATCAACAACAAGAGCATCGATCGGGATGATGGGTCGACGCCGTACGAAGCAAACTGAGTGACTTTGCGTCTCCCTCATGAACGCATTGGTTTCGGCTGCGAAATTCACAGCCTTTGACGTCTTTCCCTCGTCTGGGCCGCCGCTGGCACCGTCTCCACGTTCGCTGCCGCTCCTGTCGGATGCGCCGGCGGAAGATCGGCTGCGAGCCAGTCCGGCTGACTGATGAGTGCTTTCTGGCTGGTGTTTCACTCTCAGCTGTTTCTCCGACGACGTCGGGGAACGGCTGCGCGATTCCGTTGCTCTGCCGAGACGCCAGCGTTCGCGCGCGCGATCACCTACCTGGCACCCGTCAGTTTGCCAGATCGTCAATCCGTCAATGCACCAGTCAATCGATTCGCGCGGAGAGATCTTTTCCGCGCCGCGGCGGATCTTCGCTACGCGACAGTTCGATCGGCATCGGGTTCGGCTGAGGGGCACAAGCTATGTCCGAAACGGCAGCATCCGGCTGCGGTTCCAGCACCAGCGAACTCTGGCTCAGCCTGCGCGAACGGACACACGAGTAGGCTTCCAGTGAAGCACCGCCGAACAAGTCAGCCAGTGTGTCTGTCTGTCAGCGTCAGTGTTCTCTATTTCGTTCTCGATCGGAGAAGGAAAAGCCAATCGGCCCGCTGAGATCCGAGCTTTGATGCTCGATCACAGAATTGCTCGATGGCTCACTTGCTCACCACTGGCTATCCAGAAACCAGCACGTCGGGTGCTGCTGCAGTGCGCACTTTTCACTCGTACACTTATCCGGTCTAAGCGATCACCAATCAAATAATCATTGTATCAAACGTTCGGACTGCTCCCGAATCGTCAGTGCATCGGCCGGACGGTCGGTCGGTCGGTCACACGAACGGTCGCTCGACGGGTCACTCCAGAACGGCCGAGTGCAAAACTAACACTAGGCACGGCGGGTCCGAAGCCCAGCTCAGTAGCGTGTCGGCCGATCCGAGGCTCAATCGTGTCGTTGCTTGCAATCGGTCGGCCCGAGTGCCTGGAGCTCGAGCTGCCGCAGGGCGACGAGTCGTCGCTCGGTGGCCGACCGATGCAGGTGCTCCTCAGCTCGGCCGAATGGTCGGGCAATATTCGAAGAACGACGGCTGCTTACTTGTTTTTGTACTGTTGTTCAATCGGAATAGTCGTCGACTAACGTTTGAAAGAAAAAGCCGCAGCGCTTGTAGCAGCCGCCAGCATCACCACCACAGCCAGCCAGCCGCTCTCTCAGCTTGCTTGATGCCTTCGGGGCCCGAGCCTGCTGCCTGCCTGCCTGCCCGCTAGCTGACTGCTTGGTGCCTTCTTCGTTCCTTCCACCCTGCCAGTTCGGCTAGCTGCGTGGCTGGCTGGCTGGCTGACTGTCGGTCGGTAGGTCTGCGCGTCTGTCGGTCTGTTCGTCCGTCGGTACGTCTGTCCGACCGTCGGTCTGAACATCTGTCCGTCCGTACGTCCGTGTGTCGGTAGGTCGGTTAGTCTGCTTACTTGCTTGCCTGCCTGCCTACCGAGCTGCTTGGCTGGCTGGCTGACTGCCTGGCGGGCTGGCTGCGGGGCTGCAAGGGGCCAAGGCGCTGTGTCGACACAGTGGGTTGCGACGAGCGGCGCCCTCCGTCAGAGTGCGGCCCGAGTATCGCGCGCTGTTGGTCGGCAAAGCGCCTTCGGGGTGGGTACACCTTGCGGGACGAGCGCCCTCTACTGTCCCGCATAGAATGACCCTCACCCACCGATGCTGCTGCCGCCGCCGCCGCCGCCGCCGCCATCGTCCTCGTCGTCATCGTGGGCAACGTGTACCCTTCTCCTCGTCGCCTTCCTCAGAGCCGCACTCGCTCCCCGCTGCTTTCCCGCCGCGACCGCCATAGCCGCCACAGTTGGCGACGTCGCTGCCAACAACAACAACAACCATGGGTACTGTCGACAACGACAACAACGACGAGGGTATTGTTGGAGACGGCGACGTCAACGACAGCCGCCGCAGAGAGGAATACGGACTCATATCCGTCGCATATTCTTCATTGTTTGACACTCATGGCAAACGGAAGAATGAGTACACGGACAGCGAATCATGCAACTTACCGAGTTCAGCAGATGTTGCTCCTTGTTGCGACGTCCAGTCGCTTCAGCGTCAATCTGCAATAAATTGCTGCATCGGGAAATTGATTCGATCTCTATGGAGAATGTATCGGCGGAGCTGATTCAAGGAATCATTCAGATTCAGTACCTAATTGATATCCGAATGCCCGAGGAATGTTGGAGATGAATTTCTAAAATTATTCAGCTCCGTCGAAGCTCCGATCCCTCTACCGGCGATCAGGAGTTTCCTGATCGGTGGACTCTAATGCAGTTTTCGACGTGAACATTGCTTGTGTACCAATGGCGTTCTCCCTTTCGCCGGAAAACGTGTGATGCCCATTTGGGTGGCTGAGCGCTCAGCTTCCTGCGAGCCGTCGTCACGTAGGCTTTATCTACAGTCTGGGATATTCAGCAGGCAAGCTGGCGGCGACTGAGCTTGCGAGGCACGTTAGCCAACGGAGTAGACTCCTTAAATATATCGCCTGCCGTAGGAGGGAGTACCGATGGAGCCAACTTTCTCAGTCGAGAATTCAGCTCTTGGGAGGCAAGCAATCGAGCTCGACAAAAAATGGTCGTTTAGCTTTGCGATTCGCTGCTCTGGGGCTCGATTTATCCGGTCGGTCAAGAGGTACTCCCAGAAATCCGCAGGGAGACCGAAGGGGCGTCATCCGAGTCGACGGTTCCAGTTGTCAACTGTCTTTTTCGCCCACTCGGATCATGATCGATAGGCGAACGTTTCCAGCTCCTCTGGGACCTTTGGACTTCCACTCCAAACAACGAATGTGAGAAAAGTCATAAATTCCTTCCGGGAGCCACCGGAAAGAGCTCCCAGCAAGCGAATTGATTTGAGCGAGAACATCCTTCTGTGAACGCTCACTACGAATCCGTCGTGCATAAGTGGCTGCTAATGGGTGCCGAATCGTCTTTTGATCCCGACTATTTCGTTTGAAGGATTAGTCGGACAGACAATCGAGCACTCTTTCTCTGCGAGAAGGATCTCACGTCTTATTCGTTGCAGTTGTCTGGGACTGATAGGACTGCGATGTCTGTCCGTGGGAGGAGGTGGCCTCGGAGCAGCACGGATTGCCTCTCGAAATAAACACCTGTTGATATCGAGTGGTGGGCTGAGTTCATGCTTCTCCTCCGCTACAGAACAATGCACTATTTGGAGGAGGGGGAACAGGATCTTCAGTGCGAACGGACAGCCT